CATACCCTGTAAATTTATTAAAATATCTCACCTTCCATCATTGTAAAGTCAGTTGCTAGGCGGCGGAAATAAAAGTTATAAAAAAACTTAACTATATCATATCATCGAAAAAACTGTCAAAGTCTTCATTGATTCTACAACGGAAACTAAATCGGATGTCGGAAATTCTATCAAACCAAGCATCACTTTTCATGAATCGGTAGAGTGAAAACCGTGACGGAAGTCGTATTTTTGTGACTAAGATTTAGTACAAAATTATTAAACAATCCTGGATAACACATGGTGCTGGTTACTCACAAATTAAGCAGAACTTATCTTATAATTAGACAACTGATAGAATTTTTTACTTCTTTTTATTTATTAGTATTATATATATAATAATTGGATAGTCAGGGATACAACATCACGCTACGACAAATAACAGCTGAGCTATAATAAAAAGTATTGCAGAGATTATATAAATATTGGAATAAATTGTATTTTATATGCTTTCCTCTGTCATTTCCGATCTTCACAAAAGCCATGGAAAGAATATGATGTCAAATTTAACATGACAATATGATAATAATTCTAGATTCTGCATATTAAAGCCACGTGCATAGGCGCAAATGCCTGTTTCGACCGCTAAGGAGCGAAATTTGAATAGTAAGACACGATGAGGCAATAATTAAATATGGGGGACGGAAGCATGATACGTCACGATATTGTGCACTACCGGTACGGCGCGGCGAGATGTCAATTTTTAATATGAAATTCTATTGCCAAATAATTTATGACTATATGTCGATTGAAAGTACCTACAGATAGTATTTTACTGCTAGATGGTGTTCATTGTCAATACACAGAAGTAGTAATATATCAACAAATAGCTTTAGTAATATCAATACAAATACGTTAGTAGTGACGTGTTCAGTATTTATATTTTATACAAATTGAGATACTTGCGTCATCTACGGCCGGTCGTAAAACTACGTGTATAAGCCGTAACCCATAACAATATGGATGGATACATTTTACGTCCACCTCAAATTATTATGGTATAAACTCAGGAATATGATGATAATGAGGCACTTGCGTCATCTTTCCCTCTATCTCACTTACTCTCTTGCATCTTATATACGTCGTATATATATTATATTATCTACGTCTGTATATATTATACATAATTAACCTTGTGTTGTAACCTATGTTTTGATTGGAGGAAGAGAAATGGCACTGAAATTATAGGGTATGCATAATATCTTAGGTAGATGGGTACCACAGAAGTCACATGATAACGATTAGGTACATCACAAGTCTATGGTTATCTTCATGTATAAAGCTCACAGTTACCATCAGCTGATCCAGTAAGTCGTGTATCATTCCAGTAAAAAGGTTCTCAGTTTCGATGTCTTCAGTTGTGTCCTTACTGCCAATCAAGTCCTGTTTAGACATAAACTAAACTCCTATGTTAAATTTGGTATTAGACTACATACCTACTCATCAGGCATGGGTTAGCTGCATTAGAAACTTTATAAACCCTTCTTCGTAGTAAGAAGTTACGAGTACCTTAACTTTTGAACTCACCAACTGCATACTAGGTACGTTTCAAACTATACAGGCCAGTTGAAGTTTCGAAGAGCACGGGAGAAGAGATTTCAGTCTGTTTGCACCTGAGGCCTTTGGCCTAGTTAAGTCATACTCGTAACTATTGAAGAAAATAGGTTATCATAACTACAACTACCATATATTACATTTACAACGATATATTTTAGAAGTAAATACCTATACATAATTCTTATAATTATTTTATGTACTTTATTAATAATTTGTAGAATTATATACTTCAATATTTGATACTTTTAGATCTGTATATAAACTAATAAGTGTTTATTTTTTTTTAATAATAATCTTTGTTATTATTAAGTTAAGGAAAATGATGTGGAAAGTAAATAATAGTCCATTTGCGTTCGATTTATCTATTTCGGTGTAACAAACATTATCATACTGATTCATCTACATATTAAATTAGAGCTTCGTCTTAATCTAATATAGTAAGAGAGCTAACGGCATTCTTAATATTTACGGATGTTGTTTATATATGATGTTTCTAAAATATCTCTAATAATTGCGACAAAGAGAAAGATTTCACGCGTTACACCAATGTTACTGTATGTAATTTGGTAATTTTAAAACATGATATATTTATTTATCGATGTTAATTTGAGCAACTACGATTTCACTCAAATTGGACGTAATTTTTATTTCATACATATTTGACAGTTTGTTATTTCTCCAAACAACGTCAACAATTTTATACGCTTAAATAAAACTTAGGACTATATTGCAGTCAGCTCTTATACTATAGGCATCGATTGTAGATAATTATATATACATCTAGATCACTATTATTATTATCTAATTGGGTGATATAAAATTTTACAAATAACATCAACAAAAGAAAAATACTATTGCACAATATTTTAGTTCACATCAAAAGTTCTATTATTGTGTCCATTTATTAATATTTCATGTGCATTTGTTCCATTAATATTTTGTTAACAATGTAGGCAGAACACGTGGACTTCTTTTGTTAAATCTGGTACAGAAAATTCACACATTGTATAGTCAGCTTCAATACTCGACATTAGTGTTTTTAAATAAATATTATAATTGTATATTTAGTTTTTTCGTCATAAGAGAATGGCACTTTAGACACATATATCGTCTAACTCGTGTAAAGTTTTTTTTGCGCTTTTAGAACATCATGATATTGGATATTGTAATTTTATATATATATATTTGAAGATAGACAACGTAATACTGGAATGATTCTGTTGATACAATGCATATTTCCTTGTCTACATTGTGGCTTTACAAAACTATTTATTACCCTGTGTAACGGAAATATGCCACTTTTACGTTTTCATTTGCAACCGTATATAACCAGTTTTAGAAACCTTTTTATGGCGTTATTTAAGAACTCCCGAGTCGTAATTTATAGTTCGAGTAAAGTCCTAGTCGGTACGTTTACGCTTTCTTAACTTCAATTAAAACATTTTTTAAATACCTTTTGTATCGATCCAATTACAACTCCATTGGGTGCTGGTAAGTGCTTAAATTATTTCAATGATTCAACATATATATATATAAACATTGAATGTAAATGCTTGTAAAAACAAGCACTTAAAATAAATTCAGTAATTTCGTTTCAAAAGACATTCTGGATAATCAATATGTACATATATGGCATCGGTAGGTGAATACAAATTACATTTGCATTGTCGATAATATAAAATAATAACCTTAATATGATTTTCATATTCTAAAATAATTATCGATTCTAAAATAATTAATTATAAAACACAAATTAATTAAGCCAATTAAGCTTCCCGACTTTACAAGGCTTCATCAAAGGATAGTTTATAAACAGACCTCATACTATGGAATGGCACAAGCGCGGTTTTAGTTCAATATGAATTCAGAGTTACAATCCAACTACCAATAATATTTAGTACTAAAATGCTATTCATTCACATTTAGCAATACCGTATTTGCGCAATCCACAAACTGCTAGTCGCGTCGATGCCATTGAGGTACTATCGTACTAGAAAAGACGTCGTTATGAAACTAATCTTAGCTAGATTTGAAGTGATATCACCGAAACTCATTTAATCAATAGCTAGGCGATTAGAATTACATATATTTAAATAAAATAGATAAGTATATATATATGGGCTAACTGACCTGACTTCTTGCTCATCCTATCATCTTCCACTGATGGTTCACAAGCGTATATTGTTTATATATATAAAGTACTATGGTTTGTTACAACTTCATCATGTACCTACATTGTGAAACATGTGTATTGTAGCATCTACTATTTATTACGTTAGTAATTACATAATAGTTCAATGGTTGCCACACGTCCAAAATTTGACGAGACATTTCTGTACAAGCGCGTGCGTGAATCACTCACAGGATGTTCATTTACACAGGATGTATACTATAAATGAACGAACGCTCTATCGTATCAGCCTGCAAAACCGATAACGACATCGAATAGCAAAATGGCAATGCGAGTAGCTTGAATGGGTCTTGAACTGTCAAATAACATCAAATAGAATTTCTGAAACATTTACCTCTTTTTGGTCACATTAAACACTCAAAACTTTTAAATAAATTGCTGCATTCAGATAACCGTACAAGTTATAAAAAGTTACAAGGCCCGTCACGATCTATAATATAAGTATGTATTTTATTGAAATAAGAGTGATGTGTATCATAGTATTATAAAATTGAATTCTTAAGATAAAAGCAAATTTAAAATTCTACAAACTCAATGCATTTTGTGCCTGACAAAAACACGATTATAATGAAATGAAATAAATCATTGTGCTAATAATAACATTACCTATACTCAATTAGTGTAGAGTTGAACTCCTGTACAATTCCATTTAATAACAATTCAACTAAACTATATCATCTAATTAAATATAAACTTATTAATTAGAACAGTAAACTGCAGTGATAACTAAGTGTCAAACATTGTTCATGTTCTTTTACAAGTTTATAAATTTATAATAGCGTTACGTAAACAACAAATACATCAATTTCAACACTGACAACAGTAGTGATGGCGGACAAATATTTAATTATACTAATTACCTACTTTATTTATTGTTACATTAATATTGCAACCAAATGCGAAACGAATTATCACAGCTACTTACTGAAAGTATTAAAATATTAAAGAAATAAATGCAATATTTAAATAGCTTACAACAATGATGATTTATAAATGTTAATCACAAAATAATTTTGCAAAATATTATTGTACAAAAACAAAATGAAAATATGGAAATAACATTTTTTATAAATGTTTTTCGGAAATTATAAAAACTTGTTTTGTTTTGGGAATTTCATTATTTTTTATGTAATACACGTAGATAATTAACTTTTATCTTCTGAATAATAAAAAACCTATGTCATGTATCTATGCTAAATCTGTCAGTATACTTGTATAGTAGTGAACAAGGCTCTAGAGAGGAGAAAAAACTTCGGGTAAAATCAATATCTCTCAAATCGAAGAATATTGAATTGAAATAATATCTTTGATTTATAAGGGTAAATTCGAGCATCCATTTTCAGGCAGATTCTTTTCATTGCTTTGTATAGACATGAGATTTTAGATTTCAGACAAAATTCTCTCTAGTTCAGATTGAACAAAAAATATAAAGAAAAATCAGTCCTGCCTTCCGTTGTTAATTTCCGTAATAATAATTACATAATTTTGTATTAGGAAAAAGATACTATATGCTATCAAAGTATTATCAAACAATACAAAAGTACACACCATTAAAAATAAATATTATTTTAAAATACTGATCTTCGAACTTATATCGTGATTATATCTCGTTTATTTTATAATTGACCGTTTCTTTTATTGTCAATAAATCAACAAAAAAAGCATTTAACCATTGAAATATTTAAACATGAATATTACAATATCTATAAATGAAACCTACAAATAATGATATAATAAAACAAGCGTAAATATATACATAATACCAATTTAGTTTTTCGTTTAGAATCACTTCGTTCACTTGCTCTTCTAGAGCACACTATTTATAATCCAACGTAGAAATCTATTTACTAATTAATAAAAGGCATATTTCACTGTATCCACTCATTATTTACACATCTCCGCTCACACTTAACAATAATTTATGTACACGTAGACATCAGCTGTTGGAGATTCCTAAAGTAGTTTTGTTTTAAAAACTATAGAATTGGTTGTAATGACATCCTAATTATCATCCACACCCATAGGAAATGGGTTAGTAAGAATACGGCTGCAGACTTTGTGAGGCCGGCGGCTGCGGCAGAGGCAGCGGGGACGGGCGTCGGAGGCCCAAGTCGATTGTTGGCTCGCACCACTTGTGATCTCCAACGAATTCTGTACAGCGGCTGTTGACGCGATAACGCAACTAACCTACGAAGAAATAAAATTTAAAACAAAATGAACCTGTAATCGCTCTACATTTAATAGTAGGTATATATCATATACAGAATAAGTACATTACATTATGAATATCTTAATTTCAGAAACCTATTAATACTATAGATATAAACTTTCAATAAAATGCCAGTAGGAATACATTGTAGTGAGCGATGAGGAATGTAGAATGTTCAAACTATTTAATAAAACATCGTTCGGTTGGGTCTACTTAGGTATGTATTTGGGAAACTTCTACAGTATAAATAATGTATTAGTGTTATCTATAATTACTAGTCGCTTTCCAGATATCCACATAAATACAGGATGAATTTGCGAGCGGAGTCAACAAGTCGGTATGCATGAGTACTTTCGTTTTAATTATTTCTGCCACCTTGCAATTTATGTTATGAAGAATGGGTCGCATAGAACAGTACAAATACTGTAGACAGATCCATAACCACCTTAGTGTTCAAGGATTATAAAGTAATAGATGTGATCATATACCTAGTATATTTTCTGATATTAGTAGTGCTGTTTATTTGTAAACGATACATAGAGCATTATTTATAAGTGTGCAATCCACTACACTTTTACAGACTTTGCTGCCCTTATTCACAAAAGTGTGGTTATAACATTTTTATATTAATTAAAAATATATTATTATTAATTAATAAGAATTATTAAAAACAAAAGAAACCGATATCATGTAAATTAATTATGCAAGATTTATGTTTATTTATTTATTGAACTTTGAAGTATAGGACTTAAATATACAAAGCGGAAATAATACCTATAGGCATTCTTACCAGTCAAGCGTGGAAATCTGTTTCCGATAGAATTGAAAATATGTGAAATTTAAAAAGAGAAATGTTGGGAAGTTTAGTCGAGTGTAACATTTACAAGGAAATGTTTATAGCAGCAGATTTTTTATGTGATTCGAATAGCAACAAGGTAACATATGTACATGAACCGCATTATTGACTTCATGTTATCCTGTGATATCACGCTCGTGATAGCACTTAGGCGTTGCCATTCCGGAGAATTAAAATGTCATGCACTCTGTCGTATAACATCGCTTTATCTCAATCTTCAACAGAAACATAGCCTAAAAAGCAAGCAGCTGAAATAGGCAGACAGGAGGTATCAGATATCACTGTTCTCTACGGTAGATTTTGTAATAAGTCATATGCCCCATGCATTTGATTTATTACAAAATCTACCGCAGAGAACCGTGATTGTTAGAATACAATTCTTGCTTTTAAGTGGAGAGACTTAAGTCCGTCAATGAGGTGGAAAGTTATGATTAGCAACAATTAAATTTGTTATAACAAAAAAAGGATATAACACTATTATTATAAAAGTTACTTCTAAATATTAAATTCAGAAAAGCGAAAAGGCGTCTGAAGGATGTTTCAGTTACGAGCTCCCGATTTATCGACAAAGGTATGTTTTCACACATCGTTATTCGGGATTTACGAGTGGAAATGTCATTTCGGAAACATGCCACGTACCCTCTTACGGATTCCTCTAATATGCACAAAGAAAAAAGATCTTTATACTGAGAAAGTACCAAGTCATATAAAGCATGCGCTTCTACGTATTTGGCGCGGCGGTAGGTGTTAAGGGCAGAGGCTATTCATAAATAATTTATCAAATGGATATCTGAAAAGTGAGCTCTTTCTTGCCGAAATTGTTCAAGCTTTACTAAAAGCAGTGGCAGAAAGATTTTTCTGCTATTGAGGATACGTGCCCCGCACTATATGGCCGTTCGACAAGGATGATTAGTGGTAAAACTTTCTTGGGTCACGTTTATCTCGTACAGACAGCCAACTTTTATATGTTATCTATAGGTATTTTCGTATATTTGGAACACGTGGGAATATGTTTCAATTACTTAAGAAAGTTGCTGTTTCTACTGATAATATTATTATTGTGTTGTACATAGGTATTTACATTAAATTAAAGAAAAGATAAATTTATTGGCTAATTCTATAGAGCATAAACTTTAATACGAAATGTTATGTATTTATAATTAATTGTAGACACAATTGATGCCACTGTCAACCACAAAGTGGATAAAATGTTGTCACTATCTATAAGTATATATTTTAGAGAGTCACCAATACATTAACGTAATGTACGTACCTTATAACAACAGTATTGAGTCGCCATGGCAGTGTGTAAGTATGGTTCTTATGACGGGCACAAAAGGTATACAATAGCTCGCCGGCAGCTGCTGCCAGACCTGAATCGCTTTGTGCACCAGAGCCCGACCACTCATGAAGTGTGATATTCCATGAACCACAGGATTTATCCTAAATAAAAAACAATATATACTCCATTAAAATTATATATACATGTTTACTTATCCACTAGGGATCTAATGTTTTATTTACCCGAAAGGCTTTTTATGTGCCACAATGGCTTCTTCTCATAGTGAAGGTCTAAATATTACTAAAGTAATAAGGAGAAAGATGTATGCAATGCCATTAGTTCATTATTATCCCAATTCTCGTTGAAATTGATCCGGATAACATGGCGAGGAGAAGTGCCCACTATCCTGATAAAAAGTTATATGTATTACCGTTTTTAGGGCAGGGTCAGGTCTACGAAGTAAGTCAGGTTAGAAATACAGTGCAGTAAAGACTTGGTAATTATATAATTATGTAAGCGATACTTATGATATATACCAACTTTCTACATCTCTATACCATACTTTATTCTTGGTTTAATAATGAATGGCTGAAGGATACCATGGTACCATGCTACTTAATATCATTTATTAATTTTGTATCTTATGGGAATTCAATTATTAATTATTTTAGTGATTTACAATACCTGTTCAGAGGATATATCAATGAAGAGCTGCCTTTCGACATTCGAATCTAAGACCCAAGTACATTGCTGGTAGAAAAACTCGTTCAGACTCCCAGTAACAGACACGTTCCTCGACGATATTTCACCTGAGCACAGAAATAAATGTGAAGAGGAAAACCAAGAAATTTAAACGTGACATTTACGTGAGTAATAATGGAATGAGAAGGCAGACACCAGTCGCCGCAATAGCAACGCTGTAATTGGAACTTTACGATCTTGTTCAAGGTTTTTTCGATTCAGTATTACCGTAGGCGGCTAAAACTGGGTCGTGGCACGTAATTTAGTCGGAATCGCCCCTACGCTGCCGCCGTGAACAATATCCGACGCGTTTTTCCAAAGGCCGGAGACGCGAGCCGAATGTCAAATTGAACTGTTTGTTTTTCGCTTTGTGCTATTGAGGCTGTATGGGGTTCATTTGAGGTATATTGCCCTGTATACGAGACATCTTTATAGAATTATCGGGGTAAGGGTTTTGTGTCTCGGTGGTAATACGAATTAAATACAAGTAGTGTATAGAGAATGTATAAGTACTTACCAGAATGTGTTGTGTACGTGCGCTGGCCGCACATAGAGTCGTCGTTGAAACTATACGCCGCCGCGTAATCGAATCCCCTACTGGCGTACGTGTAGTGCGCCACGGAATACTCCAATCGGACACTGGTCCAACTGCGTACCACTACAGGCAACCACGCCGCCTATGACAATGTAACATTAAATTACAGTTAGTATTTTCATAACCATATAAAATTTAATAAAGAAGTATTACATCTGCATACCAATGACATTATTCCATTCCGCGAACACTGAAATCTCTAAAAAAATACCGCACGTAAATTCAACGAATTTAGATTTGTAGATGAAATTGGTTCATCCTGTCATAAATAAATGTAATAAAACGTTTGTGGAATAAATAATGCACTTTCAGTTTCACGACTCCTTATTTCATATGTTATAGCATTTTATCTTATTTACTCAAAATATATTCATGCTGTAGATATGAATAAAAATCGACGCACAAACAGTACATCTAATACAAGCATTACGTAATTTAAATAAACACTGTTTTAATCTTTTTTCATAGTTACTTGAAACAGCATTTAATATTATCATGGGAAATATCCAGTTAATAACTTACGACGTATACGTATAATTATAAATATGTATATTTGTAATTATACGTAAATATTTGATATAAGTTTGTTGCGTAAAGTTATACATAATTTCTACTTACGACAAAACTGTATTAGATTGAGTGGTTAACACAACACCTACGTGTGTCGCATATAAATAAATATGCCCTGCAACTGTCTACGCAATGCCCATACGTAGTCGACTAAGTAATTGAATTTTCAGGAGCGAGACTCCGGCGTGTCGCTCCGGGCCATGCCGACCACTAATAACAGGGGACGACGGATGACATGCCGCCAGTTAGGGCATGTTTTATGAGCGCCAATGGTCGCCGACTCGACTTCCGTTACAGATATTACTCAACTTCATTTTGTAACAATGCCTCTTGGTGACACGGTCAAGTCATAATCAGGGTGAAGCATTGAATATTTAATTTTGAACCGGCACCACAATATATAAAGCAATAATATTAACTTCGCCAAGTTACACGATACGTACATCAGGTTTCTTGGAAATGGAAGAAGGAAAGTTTCCCTCCATTTAATATCTACTATAATATTGTACGTTAGACTCGTATTTACGCATAAAATATGTACATATATTCGTATCCTCCAAATCAATACTTCGAATAAAATTATGGAAGGGTTTACGCCTTACTAGTACCAAGGTCTAAATTCAAGTAATCAAGTAAATGTTATTTTATTATTGAGAGACTTACAAGTTTGCGAACCAAAATTACTTTGGGAAATGTAAACTGTTAAAGCATATAAATAAATGAGTTTAGTGTTTCGCTATTAAAAATTGATAATAAAGAAATTGGTCAACTTTGGGAGCGAGAGTATGGTAAGTGACTGTAAATATTTTAGGGCCATATTTGCTTTTAGTCCTCCCCATACGGTTGAGCGGACGTTCCACGCTTTATTGCTGTTACATACTTAATAGTAACCCTCTTAGTTAATTATGCGGATCGTGCAAGCCCGAGAGAAGGCTACGGAAGGGTTGTTCATCCTATAGTGATGTTAGCAGAAGACTCAAGTAACACGATTAATTTATTTGTTACCCTCTTTCCAAAGTGCTTAACAAGTGACCTTCAAACACATACCAATTCGATTATACATATGAATTTAACGTATTCTTTATATAATACAGTCTTTGTGAGTTTATTAATTCCTGCCCTACATCGAGATATTTAATTAATCAATGAAGAATGAAGTTGTTTGCTATAATTAAAAGTATAGGAATGCCGTTATTAAGTTAGGCGTATGATTTGATTTGTTATTTTCCCATTGATTGACTGGAAAGTTATCTTTATATTTGAAGCGTATAATGTCAATTATTTTCATTGATATAGTCCAGTTGATATTCATTTTAATGGCAGTCAATAATATTAGCAGTAACGCGCATTGTGGATATATTTATGATTATATATTCTTATATTAAACAAATGTTATGTAAAAAAGCCTATTATAAAATAGATGAATTTATAGATGATAGCAATATATAGCAAGAATAAGTTTATTTGCGGACAACGTTATAATTTTAATTTTCATATTGCTTTCTTGATATATGATAGCGTAGCGGCTTTTATATTGATTGCCGCATGCATCCGTATGTAAAGTGCGAATACTGTAACTACCATATAGTAATTTTTGTAGCTGTGACGTAGTCGTGAATGAGTAGTCATGCTCACTAAAATGTCCAGACATGTGGCGGCGTGGTGGGCCGGGTCATTGGGCTCCCTAAAATATGGTCAAGCGCAGTGATGGCTGGCTCATCCGTCATACTCGTGAAACGAGTGCTGCTTGTAGGGACTGGTCTGCTCTTATCACTACGACTGATTTAATCTTATTGCATATTTATATTTGACCCAAAAATTAGTGCTTGTTGGTAGTTTGTATTCACACGTTTCGACTTGTAAATGTAAACTTACAAGGATTATTTAAAAGAGTGATGAGACAGCTTTCCGAACGAGTGGTAGATAAAAAACAAATTGTTATGACTATATGGGCTTGATCTGGATTATATTTATATATATTTAAATAAAATAACAAAGCAAACGTTTATCTAATTTAATTTTATATGAGACTAGACAGTTGACATATTTAAGTTGCGCGCGCCTGCGCGCTGCCTATACAATATATTTATGTACGTATACAGCCATAACTATTCAAAAGTGCTTAAATTAAGTTTATTTGAATAAATGATTTTCTATTCTATGCTATTCTATTCTATTAATTTAAATAAAAAGTAACAATAAAAATTATAATTCAAGACTAAATTAAATTATATTAAATAAAATATAAATGTTTTAGAATTGGTAAATTCTATACATAAATATACAATATAAAACACAGAGTATATATAGTATAATATATAAGGTAGACTAAATTGATAAATACGTTTTTGATTTTTGAATGGTAGAAAAATAATTTTAATAAGCCAAAATATGACGTGCATGATTGTCAACATAACCACACATAATCGTCTCAATGTTGGGCACGTGTCTCTCATAAGTGAATAATTTTGCGTACCAGGGCTTAACTTTGAATTTTATTTTTACATTTTATTTAGGATTTTGTTTTCACTTTGTATTATATATATTTGTGATATTATTCCATTCATCATGACATGACATGAGTCATGACTCATAGTTATGAAAAGATGTACTAAGAAATGTTACTAGAAATATAATAATGGGAACTCAAGGATTAATAGGAATTGGGAACCCATTTTTGATAATGGAGCATAGCAAGTAGTCATGCGTTTCCTCTCCTGGAAACTTGCAGCTTAGCATGATAATGGCACCCCGTCATCACCCATATATATAATAGCTGCCTTTACACTTACACAAAGAGCATACTGTCACACTCACATCAGCTTTCACGCAGGCAAGAATGAGCATGTCAGTCTATGACATGATCCGAACGAAATAACCGCGTGCGTCGCCAACTCACGCGTTCCCGCATACATAAATCGTGTGTGCTTTAAGTGCCTCTTTGTATCAATGCGGGACATCACACTATGGAACAAACACATAATTATAGAGGTATTAAGATATGAATAACTCTGTAAATATGTGTTTTTATATATATAATAAATTTTGATTATTATATATTGCACAGATTTTACACACATATATATATATATATATATATGTGTGTAAAATGTTAAAATTTAAAGAGAAAGTAAAATGACATGAATCATACGTGCAGTCAAGCACGAAGGAGTGAAAAAGTAAAAAAAAAAGTCTCAAAATAGTTAAATTCAATCACTAAAGATTGCGCGCACTCTTCCGCGCATTAATGAACACGATACGTTCTAACGTAAAGCTAATGTTTATATTCCAAAAGGTACTTACCTGGAAATCGCCGCAAAGGCATGACAGATGAGTTCCGTCTCCTGCTACGAGCGCGATGTGATCGTGGTAAAGGAGAGGGGTGTTCGCTCGGCATTCACAGCCGGCGTCACCGCATGCAGTGCGGCATCCGGCAGCGCCTACTGTGCCTGTTGGTTCTGCACTCCACATGCGTTCTAGCCGCTGAATCTGTTACATAATTCCAGACATGTTTTTTAATCTTTTACTAGCAGCTAGCGGTATTTTATAAGAATTTAAAAATATATAAACATCAACGTACACACCCATACATTTAAATCCTTCTTTTTGCGTTGGGGTATACTATAAAGAGTATATTATGGAATAAGTTTGAAAATTATTATTTCAATGAAAGTTTTTGTTATTATTTTTATTTCTTTATGTGATCTTATAATTTAGGATACTAATGCTAAAAGGATTTTCCAAATCGGAATCCAGTACTTTGGAGCCTATTCAATTTAAACATGATATTTCAATATATACATCGGTCGGATTGATTTGTGATCACTGTTATCATCACCGGAGAGTCAGTCAGATATATAAATTCACAGAAAAATATTTTAGGTGACGACCAGATTAAAAGTCATAATTTGGCGAAGTCGAGGCAGTCATAACAAAAAACAAAACTTAACTATTGATATTTCGAATACCAAGGGTAAAACGTTGCCAATAAATTCTAATTGTCATATTTACATTTTATTCCCCGTGAATTTTCAATATGGAAGTCTTCTTCCAATTGAAAGGAACCTTTCCAAAGTAACTTCGGTTTTAGATGCCCTAATTAACAATAATTGGGTATTAAGTTATTAGAATTGTATAGCCATCTCCAATTGTAATAATACATTTCATATTTCATAATAGTGTAAGTGAATACCTGAATAATAGATTCTACAGCAAGAAGATAGGAGCTATTACTTTATTATAGATTTAAATAAAATTCTGGATAATTTTACGATGAACTTAATATAGACATACAATTTTAGGATTGAAATAAAATATAGTAACAGTAGCATAGAATAACAATGTCTATTATGATAGTAATTATTACTGTTTTTGTACAAAGTCATTGTAAGCACCTTTGTCTCACCTTTTCAACTGCCAAGTAGATTGTTTTGTGAGTTTTGTTTCGATTGAAGAGATATGTACTAGTTTATCATATGATGGGCCTAATGGCCTTTGGCATGTTAACTATACCAATTACATTAAATATAATAATAAGATTTATAATTATAGCTGATATAATAAAATAATAATAAGTGTGTGGTTTGGACCTCACCGATACAAAAAAATTGTAGTATATAAATTTATAACTTATTCTCCGAGAAGTGACGGTATATTCTCTTGCTACATTGAATCCATATATTCTTAGTAAAATCACAGATAAGATAATATTACACAGGGAAATGCTACTAGTGAGTCGTGCGTTTGCCACAACATCGACACTTGATAATGTTAGATATGTGACTTTCTATGAATATAGTCGTAGTATAGTAATAATTTTAATATACTACGACTAGATTCATAGAAAGTCACATATGTAATAATTTTTCATATTAATAATATTCTTTATTTATAATTAGTTATTATTACAAAGTGTCATCCGGACTATATGTTCCTTATTATCAGCAAATCGTTTTTATATATTATCGTTGAAAGCAGTTCAACCTTATACCCAATACAATGATATTCTACTAAGAGTTAGACTCGGAGCACTTCACTAAAATTAGAAAATTACATTTACTAAATTGGCATAGTCGTGAAATGAAATTGAGGCCTATTTTATACGAAGCTATGTATTAGTAAATGTATAACAAAGGTTAAATATTTATTAGAATTGAATACGAAATAATATTCACCATATAATTTTTTTGTAGTACTTCAAAAGGAGAATATAACGTTTCTTTCGTTTTTTTTAAACAAGAAATTATTAATTATTTGATTAAAATATGAAATCAATATTGGTAAAGAAGATATATGTAGTTGCTAGCTTTTGTCCGCGGCTTCGCTCGCGTTAATTTATCCCCTTAGGGGTGGAATTTATCAAAATCCTTTCTTAAGAGATACGTCATAGTAACTTTATGTATGCAAAGTCTCAGCCCGATCGGTTTAAAATTGACAAAGTTTCATACAAACTTTCATCCCTTATTTTATGCCTTTGGGGATAGGATTAATCAAAATCCTTTCTTAGCGGATGCCATAACATCTACCTGCATGCCAAATTTCAGCCCGATCCGTCCAATGGTTTGGGCTATGCGTTGATAGATCAGTACGTCAATCATCTTTGAGTTATATATATTTAGATATTACGTATAAGAAAATATTTATGATAATCGTAAGTACCTACATTTTAAATTTGCATTTATTACTATGATTTTTTAAACGGCATTTTAACGGTAGATCAAAAGATTCGGTACGCATTAGGTACTGATGATAAGCGATAAAGTATAGCAAAGTAGTACTTATCTATAAAGGCTTATCTATGTTATAGCTTCAATCTATTTTTATTCAATATATTTGCGTTATAAACAAAAAGCAATAATTTTAGGAATATACGTGTGATCAAATCTTTAGCAATAAAAACTGTATATAATAAAGTATATAGAATCATACTTACTTCAATAGTTACGCTTTGATTTGCAGCTGGTATAAATCTGTGAGTGCACAGTAATCTTTCTTCAATATTCCAAAAGATATGATGATGGGAGGGAGCTGCAACCCCGCCGTGCGTGGGCGCAGCCAACCCATAATGTGTTGCCGCACAGGTTGCATCCGGTGATGCAGTGCCTTCGTGTTGCTCTAAGGAGAGTATAACAATATAAAAAGTTGGAAATTTTAAAAATATATAGGTGGAAAAATGTTGCCTCTTCATTTTTAAATGAATTGTGATATAAGTTCTAAACAATATCAAACAACAAAGAATTACAAATCTAAATGAACGTTTAAAAGGCTTTCTAAATAATGTTTATTTTTTTACAGTATCGTACTTAAAATTATGTAGTATTATAAAATACCTATTAAAATCTCCTCACGGTCTTTTTGTACGTTCGCGATAATTTCAAAAACTACTAAAGATATTTTTGTAATTCATCTGAGTGATTTCTTTAAATGATTTAAGTGAATAATTAATTATGGTTTTGTGTAAATTAATTGAGATATTCTTGCGACGCTATGGCAAGTTGCTAGTTTGTTTATAAAAACTAATTGAACAATTGAATCAAATATATAGACAAAAACATTCCCTTAACACAGGACTCGTAGATTAGGAACCAATTTCAAATGGTTGAATCAGTGAGACGCTCATTATAACGCTGAACGCTGAAATAATAATAATAGAACTCAGGAAAGCTGCGTAGATATTAATCCGAGTAATAATTTCCATGTCAAAGCGATGAACAGTGACTTCGCGTTCTATTCCCTCGCCTGTGATTGCTTACAAAAGCTATGCAAAAAGAAAAGAGAAAGCGTAATGTGGGAGGCTACGTCAGCGTTTTCATTACTTTAACATAGGTCTATTTTCAATTCAATACATTTGTGTTTTCGGCCTGTATTTTTCTCAGACTTTTTAAGCTATCCTCGTATAGATTTTCATGTTACCTTTATAATGTGATGTTGTCTTTGTTTGAATAATATTAAGATAGAATATTAGGTAAATAATTAGGTACTATATTAATTATGAAATTGTAAGGGAATTCTTGTTTTATTTGTTAAAATAAAAAACATCTCAATTGGGTAATATCTAAAAAGAATTACATTCTAAAATCAAACAATTATTTTCTAAGAATCTAAGTTTATCAAGTTTCCTTAATTGCTGATCACGTGATCGTAAAATATTCCGAAAAAAGAAACAATATATGTTTCAATTTCGACCAAAGTTCTATGGAGAACTTTGGGGAAACTATTTGTTCAGTTTCATGAATAATATCGCAACGTATTCTTACATTCTACTTTGTATAAAGAATTCTATTTCTAAGAGTGAGAAACTTATTACTTTCATGTGCGTATCAGAAGACAACAAAGAACATGAATGTACATCCATCTATATCAGAGGTTTTAGTAACACAACTAATTACGACAGTCGTAAGAAAAGGGGTTACTCTTGTAATTTAAGACCATATAAAACCTTTCATCTATAAGAAAATCTTATTACCTAACAATAACTGGTCAATATTTTGCTCGTGTTTTTCTATCGTGTTTATGCAGAAATCATAATCCGTATTTCAAGAGTAGCATGCATTAATAAATGTAAACAATACTACACTATTTCTTATTCTAATAATATTATATTTGTAAATTATAAAAAATAGGTTGTAATAACAATAAATTAAATATAAGTTATAAGAGATTTTTCGTTAGAATTTTTATTTACAAATTTGTATACAGAATTATGAAGAAGTATAGATTATTTTCGCACACCATTTGTTTACACGGTTTTTTGCGTACAGCTTCGTATACTTAGTTACTGAATAAACCACGGAGAAAATTGGTGTGCGAAACGATTCTTATATTTAAGTAATTGCTTTCAATTATGAGATATTTTTATCAATAAACGTTTTATGGAAAAATAATAGCTATAATAATAAAAAATACAATGTTGCCATAGCTATGTAATAGTTACAAAAAAATGTCGTCCATAATAATAAATTAATTTATTAATATTTTCATGTGTAAGCTCTCTGGCTGGTGTCATTGGAGTGACAATCGTATTATTTATATATCACTAATATCATTTCATGATTTTTTAATTATATAACTTAACTTAACGTAATGATTATATAAATGATATTAGACTTACCGTCGTGAAATGCAAAAGCACCATCAACAAATTCTTCTTCGTCTACGCTTTGCGAAGTAGCCCGTCGCACCAATATGGTTAAATTAGCACCTTTGGACGTCACCGCTTGACGTATGAGGAACCTTCCCGAGGGATCTCTTGCCTCCCTCACAGATGGCCCGCAAACTCTTAGGAGAGCTCGATCCCCTCTCTCTGATCGATCACCTCTATCTCCTCTGCCACCAAATTCATGGACACCTTCTATTATCTCAATATGAGATCGACAACTTTGTAACCTAGGCAAAGGAGACAGGAATTAATTTTTAACGTGTAAATCATGTATTTTTGGTAATTAATGAGAGCAAATTATTTATATTATTTATAAGGATATCTATCTGCTTTTGTTAATATTCAAAGTGGCCCAGTTTTTTGCTTCTATCTTTATTCAGTCATTAATTTGTCAAACCTCACCCAAACAATTTAATGTACACAAAGTAGAAATATTAGAATTCCTTCAATTTTTTTATAGATTTGTTTTAAATAATATAATATATTGTATGGATTTTAAAAAATAATGAAATAAAATATAATGGCCACTCCATTGGTGGAATGTATTCGAGCGATTTCAAGTAGGATTGAAGATCGAGTGTTTCACAGCTTTATAATATGTCAAAAAGGTATTTACAAATTGTTTCAATGCACGAACACCCAAAAACGATTTGTATAATAGAAAGGTTTGAATTAATAAATGTAATCGACAGCTTTGTATACGATAAAACGCTTTGATATTTATATGTATGTAGAATAAAATTGTGATAAACGAAGAACTATATATTAGGTATGTTATATTTTTTGACGGCGATTAAACTTAATATATATGTATTAATCCATTACTTAGATATCTACTCATTACGTGTATATATTGTACTTTTTAGGTATTATATTTTTTTGGCGGCGGTTAAACCTAATATATACATATATAGGACTATAGGTATATGTATTACCTAATCCATTGCTGAGATATCTACTCATTACATGTATGTATTGTACTTTTTTTGGGTGGCATGACAAACAAATCACAGGCTAACGATTGAAAGCCCTCCCCTTATTTGCGGTTCGCAGCTTGGTCAGTGGGCGGTCAAATAAATCTAAAAAAGATGGGTGTCGGGTCGGTTATGCGATACAGCCGCTTTAAAGGGTTACTAATGTATTGTACATAAATATTCATTATCTTGTTTGCTTTCCCAACAATGTAACATTTAATGGACCTGACGTGAACATAAATAGACTAAAATATATTTTCACAAAAATGTGCGTAAATTTGCTCATTAGATTGCGAATAAAACAAGATCAAACGCAATTCTTTATAAAATGTCAAGTACATTTTTTTGTTTATACTAGGATGGTGGCAAACAAGCATCTGATGGTAAATTGTTACAGCAGCCTATGGACGACTGAGACACCAGGGGTGTACCACACGTACACATTGCCGAACCCTAGGAAAGCTTAATATACCCTTCTTGAAAAACCTGTAGTCTCGTGAGAAAACCTCGGCAAGTAGTTCATTCCACAATCTAAGTGTATATTGATAGTCTATGTATTAACAGATGAGAGTATATTGTTCTTAGGATGTATAATCTACATAACATTTACCTTAGATTATAATTAAATAGCGACACTTGGACGACATCAGTTGGTGCGCCCAGCAAGTGTATAACACACTGCGACCTCCACGCTGTCGCTCTAGTGTCGAAGTGTCCAGAGCGCGCACCACCGGGGCCGTACCCGCGTACAGTAGCACCACACCCAATGCGACCACCGCCATTGTTATGTGATACTTCGTTCGTCGCTGAGTTGCTGTCTATTACCGCTACCCTATCCACTAAACATCAAAGGTCATGTTACACTACACAAAATGTTCATGATAGACATTGTTGTACAAAAGATTTATCGGATATCTCTTATTTTATTAATGGATACATAAAATTTTATTAAGAATATATAATTAAAATTGCATAATACATCATATTGCTTATAACGTTTCTTAGGTTCCATCGTATATAGTATATACAAGACACGGTTTTTGAGTCCTTTTACAAAAACAAAACATGAACTACGTCAAATTGAGAATTTCCTTTTCAAAGTCAATACAAAAAAGTAAAGCTTAAATTGTCTATCTAAAAATATTCTCTCAACTTTTTATAACATAATAAAGTATTCATAAAAGTCTGTTCAAATGTCCGGAAAAAGATGAGGAAAATTTGTACCACAAGTTTACATAAAGATATTATGCAAGTGAATATAAATATTTAAAAAAAACATAAATTATACCATTTTGTACGTGATGAGTGAGAGCTGCCAGAGGTGCTGACGCTGGTACTACAGTGGGCGGAGCACCACTACTATCGACCCTCTCTATAAACTCCAACTTGGCGATGAAACCATTGTAGTCATACCGCGGGACTAACGGTCCAGAGCTGTTCATAAATGTTATCAACTTTGAATTTCAACATCGGGTATATTACGGCTCAAATTGCTTTTAAGGAGTTACCAAGTAATAACTTTTAGCAACACTTGTGAGTGGCTTGGGATGTCGGAGTGGTACAGTTTCCGACTTCTGCTTGCTTCACGAACTTAACAGTCATGTTTATAATGTTAGGGCCTAGTTCAGGCTGCTTTGATAATAATTTAATCGAGTGTCGAATAAATTAGCAACTAAATATCTCTAAATTGAATGGATTTTGGGAGAATATGCAAAGCATCATTGGTTTTTATTTTACAGTGTCCACATAATTCTAAATCTGATTTGAATCAGAATTGTATAGATTTCGATTGAATTTAAATTTCCGCTTATGAATAATTACGAGAGTGAAAGATTACAATTTACGATTACGGTTAGTATTGATTGACTGTATTAAAACATGTAAACTGTTACTGTACTAATGCATATTTAGTTTACTTTTTAATTCTTTCATTTGGTACGGCGTGCTAGGTACTATCAAGATTTTTTTATATAACATATTATGTAAAGGAAATGGTTGTAGATATTCATATAGTGCATTAATTTAAAAACCACATTAAGAATAGTATTAATTTTACTTTTTTCGTGCTCAATATTTGAATATTAAGAAGTAAGTGTTTAATTTTTTGTACTATTTCTATACCTGAACTCCAATAACAAGTTTGGCCCTGGATGTTCCAACGTAGCAGTTCTCTCGGTACAGATCGATCCAAGTAACGGAGCCGAAGGGGAGTTGCCAGCACGTAGCGTCAGATAGTCCGTGGCGCAATGACTGCAAGATAAATGAGCTTATAGTTGTACTTCTTGGTACTTTAGTAATCAATAACTGTAACTTTATTTTATCAGTCTGTAAGAAAAGACCGATTCTTTCGTTAGAACACATTTTAATGTCTTTTAGATAAATGTAGAGTTGAAGGAGATATGCCCTGACAATTTGAGATTAGATAGTGTTGAAATCCAAAAATAAATAGTGATGCGTTCTAATGCTCATTTAACAAGGACGTAGAATGGAAGAACAATGATTCTAGAATTCTTTTCTATAGAATAGTCTTTACTCGTAACGTTATGATACTTTTTAAATAGAATTAATATTCATTTAATGTAGCTTTATTATAAGTATGAAAAGTTTGAATAATTTATATTAATAATTAGTGATAATCAGAGAAAACTAGTCCCTAGTAACAGTAAATCTACACGAGAATGACGAATATCCAGCAAAAGTTGCACTATAGTCGACCATGTTTTAAATAAGATTTAGTATATTTAATTCAAAATATAATTAAGGGGAGAGAGAGGTCATAAAAACCTTAGTTCTATCTACATACTCTTATGCCAAGCCTCATCATAGAAATAAGTATATAAAATCTTAAATATTGAAAAATAATGCATGTATGTATATTATCAAATTTTCAAACTTTTTTATTGAATGCTATATCAATCTTTCAGACCTAAAATAAAATTTTATTATGTCTTTGTAATATGTAGTTTAAAGGGCTCAGCCTTACTACAATTATAATTTCGATTTCCAATTCACTAATCAAATATTTACTACTGGTTTTATACGTCATCGGCGCTGTAGTTGTAATAGGTACTTATATATCTATACGTACGTAAGTACGTCCTTAGTTTCTTGACTATAAAAATGTGGTTAAGTTTATTTTTCATTATTATATTAGTGAATGCAATTGTTGTTTATTTAGATTTTTGACGTTTTTATGATTTACAATGTATGTTTCAAGTTCGCACAGATCAGGCATTCACAAAAGGTTCAGGTGATTACCATATACACAATCTCACAAAATTCGCACTTTCTATTTTTAATACTCTCAGTTCATAACATACATTAGCAAGAGCGATTCTAGTTAATAATTACAGCAAATATCTTATTTTATCCCACAGCGCTGGCTTGGTTTTTAGGGAGTACATTATTTATAGAAATATGAGACCACTCTTCCTAGACAGCATTCATTTCAGTTATGTTGTTAAAATATAGCCTTTCTGGGAATACTGTGTAGTTTTACGAATTTACCTAAATAAATATTAACGACTATTTTATGTTTTTAGTGGTACCCGCGACTTCGACGCAAATACATTTTTAGATCGCCATCTATCTGCCATGTCTGTATGCTTAGATCTTTTAAACAACGCAACAGTTTTTATTTAAGTTTTCAGTAATAATAAGGGATTCAGGAGAAAGGATATATAATAAGTGCATATTATACTACAGAAAAATAATAATTTCAAAGATTTGTAATGCACCCATGCGTAGTCAGATCGGGTCGCTAATTATTTTTTTTATAATTTTCAAGTAAATAAAGTTCTCAAAGTCGATTAGATTAGAAAATACCCCCTAATGGAGATAATATTTTAGGGGATACCCTGCTTTCTATAGTCAATATATTTAACACCATATTTAACACATTTAACAACATATTCTTTGAAAATATAATCAGAATAACTACCTTAATTAAAAATTTTGGACCACAGAAAAATACAGTGGCACTGACGGCCTCTTATTTCAAGTTGGTTAAGAAACACATTAAATGACTCATCATGATCTAAGTCGGTTCATCCCATTAGTACCCGTAAAGTTTACATAGTAAACACGATCACTGTAGAAACAATTGTACGGTACCGTTGAAAGTGGGCGTGTTTGCAATAAACTTGAGACATGGATTGTGGTAGTACTCAAGTATGCTTGTGTAGGAATACGTATTGCAGGAAGATAACGCTTTTATTTCTCTCACTCGGCACTCCTCGGGGATTTATTGGAGATAGCGCGATAAGAACGAGACTGTTGCTGAACTGTATGAATCATTTTAATGGAAAATAATATTTGTTGCTAAAATAATAAGATTTGTAATTGTTTAAATATCTCTTATATATCATTTAGAGTACATAATATAAGTAGGTTTTTATTGTAACTGTTTCATAGATTTATTTATTTTGTTTCTCAAAGCCCGGAAAAGCTCACTTCTGGTGTTTTAGATATCCAAAGGCAATGAGAACCGTTTACCATCAGATGAGCCGATGCTTGATTGTGACCACGGTGGTACAAAGAAAAACGATCATAGACGTATGTTTGCCGCTATAATTGAATTTATTAGTATCTCTATATTATAAGGTAAAAGATATTTATAAATAAAATGTTTTCTGGGGACACAATTCATTGTACTGAAACAAGAGGTGTCTAAACTTTAAGAGTATAACAGAATAAGACTATGTTCTCTATGCCACAAAACAATTCAAAATAAGTTGGCAATTACAAGACGTGTACGTACGAATGTACTTAAAAAATTAACATCATAGATAAATAAATAATAATTTAACTGTTATACGTGATTTTAATCCCATTATTTTTTTGTGGTGACCTATATCTCGGGGCTTCGCGCTCCCTTTATTCTCCCCTTGGGGTCAGAACCCACATTTATAAATAAGTCTGATAGGCTTTTACTTGCAAAATTACGTAATACATACAATACTAGCTAATAGCTAGTCCCATGATTTTGTCTGCTGTTTTGAGACAATTGATAGGCCATATCCGACTTCAGATAGAATCTACCTTGATGTGGATTTTTCATAAATATGTTGTAATATTTAGTCAACGTATAGACTAAAGAAAACTGGGGAAAATAAATATTTTGTAAATAAACAACGCGATACGGGGCTTATTAAACAGGCTTGCTGCTTTTATCCACTTATGAAATTCTTGTTTCGAATACAAAATTATCAGCATTTTTGATAAATAATTGCTTTGTTTAGATGAAGTAATGAGTCGTTATTGATGTAAGTACATCTATCATCCATAAATTGATTAATATAAATTTCTCATAAGATATAATAAATCGTAAGGGTAACAAAGTTGGTACTGTATATTGGTACTTAAATATTTTCTACTCTATATTGGAAGCCTTCTAAAGTTGTGGTGGTTAGGGAAGGGGACTTCATTTTCTTATTAATAATGTACCCTATCAAAAAATCTTCGCGTAGTCCCCTCTAAAAATATAATGGCTAACTCTTGGTAGTTTGACCACAATAGGCTAATTGACCTGATTTTATCCCCGCCAGAGAATACTATTAGCATAGACAATTTGCTATTCATTTGTTCATTATTGTATTGTGAGAAATATATTTTGGTCTATTATAGAACTTTTTCAGAGGATGATTTAGATCCTCGCTATATACTGGTAGAGTCCATGACTATAGTGTCTCCTCTCTCCTTATAAACTACCTTGGAGGTTTTCTAAAGACCACAGCATGGAGTTTTCAAAACGAGTATATTATAATTAGTCACGCGTACATGACACCCCTGAAACTGCAGATTATAGGTATTCATAGGCTACGGCAATAATTTAATAGCAGATGGTTCGTCTTATTGCTTGTCACTATAGTGATATAAAAACAACGTGCCGTGTTTTAAATTTCTACCGCTTCTTACACAAGATATGGTGGTTTTAACCACCATCGAATCCGCAAGAAAAGTTGGCAACCGGTCATAAAACTATAATAAACCAAAATGCAACTTAATATGGATAAACATATTACACTGACCTCTAATGATTATGGGATAAGGGCAGGAATGATGATGATACTACATTGATAAGGTGATTTTGTATTAGTGTTTATTTTCAGTTTGTCTGCTATAGTTTTATTGTACAAACAACCAAACCCTAAATGTACAATAATGTAATCCATTTTAAATTAATAACAATATGATGTATGTATCTATTTAATTAAACTGTTATCATTATAGATCTAAGTTGTCTAAACTCTAAACATTGTTTAAATGGAGATCGTATAAAGCGAAGCCGGCCCTTTGGTAAATTAATTGAATGTCGCGTTCGTTACGCATACCTATTTACAGTGTTGAACTTTAGTACCAATATATTTAAACATAGTATCAACTTAGTCCAAGTTTGAGATAATAAAGACTTGTCCTAAACTATAGGTTATTAACACTAAATTAGCTCATAAACACAAATACATATTTGATATATTGCACGTAATTCATAAGCAATACCGATTGTTTTATGTTTTGATATGAGATGACGGCCTCGGTGGTCTAGCGGTCTAGCACACAGCTTTACGTCCGATGGTCGCGGGTTCGATTCCTCGCATGGCACAAACATTTGTATTCATAAGTATGATTGTTTATATCGGTCTGGGTGTTTTCTATATACAATATGGATGTATTTACGAAAAAACATATCTATGTATTTGTATCAGTTGTCTAGAACCCATAACTCAAACTTTAGCTAGCTTAACTCGGGTCTAGACGGCGCTGTGTGAATTGTCCTCAGATTATTATATATTATTACTATATTGTGTAAATCTTAAAAGTAAATGTTGGGAAAACATAGCAAGTGTTCTATAGATACAGAACCCGATCTTACGCTTTCACGAGTATTTTATTGATTCATTTAATAATTTGGTACTATGTTACAACATATCGTCATCATAACTTATTAAGAACAATTTGTGTGGCCACTAAAACGAAATAGTAAGCTCCAAAATGGAATCTGGAATGGTGAAATAATCCAGTAAATAATGGCCAGTAATCCTGGATCATAATCGACCGAGAGTCGTAAACCCAGGCGTTATATAGTTTCATGCAATCATTGAACTACGATAACTCGCACGCTGAAGTAGGCATTCCAAAACTGGGATGTAATATCGGACTAATCGAACCAAATGTGAACCAATATAGTAAAACAAAAGTCTAATGTATGGAATACTAATAGCATAAAGATAACCTTTTTATTCGAGTTCCGGACTAAAAAGCCGTACCATTGTAGTAAATTTCATAGAACACTACATTGTGCATGTCGAAGAAATAGTAAACTCATACGGAAATACTATAGTACTGCACTTTTCAATTACATTGAATTATCTACAACGACAACAACAATATAAAAGAGTATTTTATAGAAATTCTTTTAAAATTCCTTTATTCCTGATAAAAAACTGTACAGTCACGAACCCGTCTGCTCTGCATGGTGATTTATGAACAGACATTTTAAAGGAGAAAGTACAAAAAATTGTGGTCATGTTAATGTATAAAAAGTAAACATACAAAAAAATCTAAATAAATAGAATACAGCATACAAATAAATCTTTGAACAAACCGAATCGAAATCCGAAAATGGAAAACAAACGTACGAACGCTTCGAAAACACAATCGTCAATACGGGAAATTTAAACAAAGGTAAATATTATGGTTAGCTGTATGAATTTTTGGTATTTATATAAAGGTTGGCTGACCGACGTGGAGATATTCACTTATAGGGAGATTTCTTGTCCTGGGTTGTTATAAATAGTTATGATATAGATAGATATTTTTTAAGATCAGTTCAATTAGCAGTATCAGTATTTTTTTTTTCAATTAGAAAATAAAAATATAATTAGAAAATAAGAATATATAAAATATCATCGCATGTAATAAAATTTAAAAAAGCCAAGACGTGGCCAAAACTGTTTGTTTGGTTGTTTATGTTGGCGGCGAAGCCGGGGTATGTGGCTAGTGATATATAAAGAAATTGAATAAATACACCCTAAAGTTATGCCGTGGAGATAGCAGCGACATATTTCCACACTACTGTTTTAGAAAAAATATCTGTGTTTTGTTTATCTTGTGTTGTCCACATGTAGTTATGGTGATTGTAATATCTATGTTTATGGCGCCCCATGCCACATCATCGAGAGGTGGTGAGGTGGTGAGCCATTAGTGGGGAGAGAATACATTCGAGAGGACACTTGTGTCCTAATGGTCGGATAGTAAACAATTAACTATATGCTTTACTACTTTAGACAATTCACCTTAAAATAGAAACAATATATTTTAAACTATTTTTTCACAATAGAATATACACATTTTAAATGTATTAATTATTATATATATTAAAAAATATGTTATGCCAAGAAACTTCCTCAATAAGTGACACATATTACTCTGAAGAACGAATTAACTGCGAATGCGCGCCAATTTTAAATAATGAATGTTAATGACCTTTATTTGCATACATACCTATATGTATACTTAAATTACTTAATTTCCACAAACTAAGAATTACCTCATTCTTTTGTAACATTCTTATAAATATAATATTATAAATGTAGGCAGGCTGAATGTTAACATGCACCACAACGGCGACAGTTAACAAATCGCCTTTGTTAGAAAGTAACAAACTGCGAAAACTTCATGAGCATAGGTTACTTAAGTTATGTAATATTATGTTATCTGTACTTAAGTTAATACAGATTAATAACAGCTGCGAATAACATGTGAAAGTGTACAAAAGTTTATGATCTTATTATAAATTTGAAGTAACACTGCTCCTAAATCACTGAAGTTCAAAACTCGTAACTTTGGGTGAAATGGTTTTTATTAACATCATAATTACGTCAAATGATGGTACCCTACCTATTACTACTACCCACCCTACTCCAAACGGTTACCCTAGCTTAGCCTGAAATCATAATATGCCTTATTTTATTCTAGCAATATTGTAGTCTCTGTAATAGTTCATTCCAGAATCTAAGTGAACGTGAGTGGAACCTCCTCTGAAACCGTACAGGCTCCATCTATCCATATCCATACATCAACATTCTCGAAAATGAGAAATAACAGATTAGCGCATATACAACTAGCATATGTGAAAACAATTATTATATTCGCAGCCGTGCACTAGCAATAGTGTAATAGAAATGGAGAATTTAGTATGTAAATGAACGACGATGAGGGTGTGTCGAACGGCACTTGTTTAATACGTCGTTTGCGACAATTGTCATGTGATAGAAAATTTAATCGTCTAAGTAAAATTATTAATACATTTTAAAAAAGTTGAATTACAAGATAAAATCGACGTGGCAATTATTTACTGATATATGTATGTGTTGAACGCCTATATACCGACGAATGTATATTCTGTGTATATGTATGGATAGCCAGTAGACTATATCATAGTAGTGAATAAACACTACATACATTATTTTAATTTAATAATGGTCTTCAAATCGTTTATCAAGTCACCTGATATCGTAATATAATAATATCCTTGGACAATTCACACAGCGGCATCTAGTCCCAAGCTAGCCAGAGCTTGTGTTATGGGTACTAGATAACTGATATAAATACATAGACATTTTTTTGTATATACCATACATAGAAAACACCCAACCGATACAAACAATCATATTTATGAGTACAAATATTTGTAATGTGGGAGGAAATGCAGCGGCGACCATCGGAGGTGAGGTGGTGTGCGAAATATAAAGTAATTAGTATATAGTAATTAGCAATAAGGAATCCATCTGACTTAGACTTAAAATTCTTTGTAACCTAGTGATGTAATAGAAAATAGTTTTACTTACTTTCTAGGCAGTAGTATAGATGTGAAGATGATTTTGACCCTTGTATTAACAGAATTGGTTGCGAATAGGTAGCGACAGCGACGGTGTGGCGGATACAGTCCAGGATATCCGGGGCTTGCGAGTACACAAGACCCGGCGCCTCGACAGGACACGTCCTGGTATAGCCAGTCGCAATCTATGACAAAAAAATAAACATTTTAAGTAGTTATAAGCAGCTATAAAACTGACGTTACATTAGTATATTTTTAATTAAATAACTAACATTAGAAATAAGTTATACTTTCATTAGTGACACTACAGGTTCATTCAAATTTAATTACGCATTTTTTTTTATTTACTTACAAAAGTAAAGCTTATAATAATGTTTAAAAGTTTGTTTTATAACAACGTATTTTATATGAATGTTTAGTTATTAATGAATTCCTTTTGGTACTGTCTACCTAGGCAAAAATAGGTATATAGCATGCGACTCTTCCCGGCTTTGCATCATACGATCTTTTTTTAAATATACATCTGCGTATATTTAAAAAAAGATCGCATGATACATGTATATATTATGTAAACAAAAAAAAAATTCTAAATGTTAGTGAGACAAGTATCAACACACATTGCGTAGTTCATCCTGTAAGCGTAAAAACAGCCAGACTAAAGGGCGAATTTGCTTTATATTATTCAGAGATTATACGTTAGAGGTTTTATAAACAGTATGATTTTTACGTTTGGAACGTTGAAGTCTATAAGTATACCTGTGGTATATTAAAATAAACTTTCTATTCAATTCACGAAATTCACGCTGCTCAACCTTAATATTATTTGTATCTTTTTTATTAACTGAAAGCTCTGGCTGTCGTTTCTCAATGTACTAAGTTGAGCGACAGTTAGACGTGAATGTTGGCTTCGTTTAGAAGCCTGCTATCTTTTATTCAGGTATGTTTCAATATCAAGGTCTGGTGACGTGGCTTACAATCATGAAAGTATTACTTTCATTTCATTATTTTTATTTTCAAGGCAACACATTTGTCCTAGAAATACAGTCGATCTAGTCCTAGGAAGAAAATTAGTCTAATACCAGTTCATGAACTCCTTGTCTTGGGTTTATGTATCATGAAAACGAGAATACATCACATAGACGAACCCGCGAGCATCAACTAGTATGTAATTATCTTTCTAATATTGTAAACCCGGAAGTTTGAATGGATGGATGGATGTTTGTTACACTTTCACGCAAAAACTATTGAATTTACAATATGGCTGAGTCATCAGAATAACACAGACTATAAATATGCGAGTGAAGCCGCGAGCACTGCTAATACAGTTTAAAACTGTATTCTACTATAAAAATCAGTTTTTCTTTTAATATAATTATAGTATCGTAACATAAATTCAGCAATAGTAATAAAAATCTTTCGATTACATAGTACAAATATGTGAAATAAAACATTTTATTTTTTAATTAACAAGTCAGAAAACATTTAGGTAATGTTAAATTATGACATAAATATTAAAGAAATTATTTTTTCTTAAAGCTAATGTTTCCACATAATTTACAGTCGACATTAAAATAATTAATTAACATTGTCACGAAGTGGCCACGCGTACGCTATTTAGTTTAGTGGCGAACATAAAATTTATCGCAAAATAACACGTTTCGAGTAGGTGCTTAAATAAATGGAAAAGGTCGGGAAATATACAAGCGAAGTGAAACGTGGCTGAACTGCACTTCACAGTTAGCGAAAACAATTCCCCCTTTAGAGCTTGGTGCTGTCACATCATTGCGATCTTATTGTTTTCTGTAGAAAAGGGATAAAATAGAGAAATAACGAGTTCGTTGCGAAAGAATCATTATATACTTTAGTATATTGTAGAAGTAAGGTAGTCTGTTATAATACTGAAACGAATTTGTAGTAGAACATCATTCGATAATGTTTTACTATACATACATACATCTGTTTTTTGTCTTATTAAATTAAAACCAATCAATCACCAAACGTACATCTCATTTATTTTCATATTTTCAAAGCAATAGCATTTTATATAAATATTGTTTGTAAAAACTGTTGACATTACGATATTATAATATCATTTAAATGTGATTATTTTATTATGTTTCATTACAATGATTACTCATCAGACATATTTGTAAAACATATTAATTTGTATATTTGTGAAATGTAGCCTGTAACTTTATGAAACTATCGTGCATACACAAATATCATGTTCATTATATTTTTTATTTTCATACGTAGTAGGAGTGTATACGTTTGAAATTAAATTAAAGACAAAATTTACAATTGTTGCCATTGTGGTGATCATAATATTCGACATCCCCGCATTTCGCAGAAATCCAACACGACAGGATCTCTCGGAATAATGCCAAGTCCTATATACTGCACATAAAGAGAATAGACTGCCAAAGGTCTTTAAATATATCTCTTGCTATTTGAAATAATCAGTAAGTACTGCAAATTACACATTTTCCTAATACAATGTGAGTACTGTGCTGAGCACAAAAACATTAAGAAGTATATTTTTTATGCAAAGTTTTATGAAGATCAATTTCAAAATTTTTCATTGTATGACAAGTCCGTTATCCAAACAAATATTTACCCCCACATATGTAGGTATAAACATTCATGCGGCGGAAATCGCACCAGGAAACAACTCGCAACAAACCATTGAATGTGTCGGCATAAAAAATTGAATTAATTTTAGGCATTTCCGATTCACTTTACACCCCCGCCACGTAACGACGCAGTGCTGTAGTATTTCATTGCGTCTGGAGCGGCGCTGCAAATCGGCCGAAACATGCGCATACTGTGCGATAAATTATATTGAAGTCGGCTACCTCATTTTGGGTCGTCCATTCTCACCGGGTGCACAGATTTTGGCATTTCAAAAATGTAAGGTGGTATTTCACGACGACATGACTGAGTGCGGGGTGTGAATTTATCACATGTATTTAATAGAGCGAGCGTTAAGGTCCAATACTGCTATTCCACCAAAATGCATGTTGTGTAAACGTGGTAAAGAGATTTTAAAAACATTCTTTAGTAGCTGTACTGCTTCCGGTATCAACTTTGTTCGTGCATTCTTTAGTATAAACTTACTGAGGCAACTTTTTTTATTTTGTATTGTTTTGTATTTTTACATTGTATTCCTATATTGTTGATAACTATTATTTATATGGTTTAATTGGACTACATTCTTTAAGCTCTGAAGAAAATATCATAGATACCCTATCAAAAATGTCTCATTTTAACAATTTCATACAGGCCTACATCACAATTGCTTATCGGTCAACTCTTACGTTTATTACTAATACCACAGATAATACGACTTTTTGTACCTTCGAATTGTACACACATTAGTTCAACATTATGTAGTCGTTGAATAAATTAAACGAAATTATATTTCATCTACTCGATTTAGCCTTGATTGCAGATGAATAAAAGTGGATTAGCTAAAAACCAATATCGAGGTTGAATTAAATTGAACAATATTATTAGTTCTTTGGTTTTTTATGAATGAGGTATAATATTATACTTAAGAATACCTATGTAAAACTGACATGGGTCGCGCAAAAGTCCGCCACACTTGCTCTCCCTTTTCATACCAAAATCTTGACACGACATAGCAGTAAATCTATGGAATTATTCGGTCAACAACGTGAGTAATGGGCGCGAAATGAACAGTTTTAGTAAATCTGTTCTCTACATATTGATTCTCCAACTTAGTACTGTTCCAATACAATATTGTTCAAGAAATCTATAAATAAATCGTATTACCATCGATCGCCGATATTATATGGGACGATGACCGATGGCTTCTATACGCTGTAAGAATACATGTATGTGTACATGTATTGTAATATTAATATGAAATAATCAATAGTATTTAAGTAAGAATGTCAAAATTAAATAGGTCAGAACAGTCAATAAGGTTAATTAATTAATAAGACTAATTTTCAACGTTTAACTATCTAATTTATTGTTTCGAACTTTGTAGTTTCTCTTTATTTGTTTCCAAAGTGGATAATAGACACTAACTTACTTCTAGTTTAACTTTAATTTTATCTATGCTACCAATTTGATTAATATAATTGTCTAGTACAAGAAGTCTGTGTATTTATTAATAATTACTAAGTTAAAAAATATGACAGTTACGTTTTTATTTTAAACTGTATTACCAATCTTATTTTAAATACGAGTAGGTACTTACGTAATTCTGTAATATTTGCAGTAGCTCATGGCGATTATGGGTAATTTAAGTCAAAATTAATTAGCACTGTTAATAAGAGTTATTAAATAGATGTCGGTCCTTCGGCTTCATTTATTTTTCCAAGTACATTTTACGGTTGTAAATGTAAAAGGACTTTTGTTACCTTAATAATTAAATGGAATATTTATGTATCTTCGGTGACAATCCAATAATGTGAGCGTAAAGTTTATCTGATGAAGGCTTATATAAGAACATTATATTAAATAATGTAACACTACTTAGAGTTTCTATCTAACTTATTTGATTTAGATCCACATCAACCGAAGACTGAGAGTTGTTGATCAGGATCTGACCATTGTGTCTAAAGTTATCAGTGCTTACACATTTACATATGTAGAAATATTGCAGGTGAGACTTGAAAAATAGTCTTTTAGACTATTAATAATATTTCTTCATGTATTACAATCGTCAGTACATCGTTTTACGTCTTCCGTCATTTCGTCGTAAATTCTTTATTTAAAAAGAATACCCATAAATCCCCTTTCCGCTTATATATATATATATATATGTTCTCAAGCAACTTACTCCTTTCAGCTATAGTTTTTAATCTACCTAAATTGTTTTTTTTTAACGTAAACGCTGTAATTACCTGTATGTGGTATCCTGGAGCCGCCTCGTGGATGGAACCCCACGCCCTGAGTGTTGCTTAACGACGTGAAGCTAAAGAACGCAAGGAACTGTGATCTCACAGTTTTTTCTGTTATCCTGGTAAAAAAACAAAATACATTACCTAGGTATATTTACACTGTAGAATTATAATAATACATAAAAGACAATTTGATAAGTTTCTCTAAGTTTCATTATTATGAAGTTATACCATTTAATGTAACGACTAGAACGTATTTTTAAAGTAAACGAATTGCATAATTGACATTATGAATATTTCGGCATTTCATATAGTGGACCTAACTGTACCCAATTTCTGACTAAATATTGTCACAGAATTACACTGTAAAGCAAGGAGTCGCTAAATAAGTTGATTTACAAAAAATCCTAAAAAGTGTGTTTTTGGAATAATAATTCATTTTCATTTAAAAGCGACAATAGTTATTTATATATACTAATACACAATATAGCTAATAATATTATACATATGTACATATAATAATTTACAACACAAAATGAAGTTATCAAGATTATTTACTTAATTCATTATGCCTATAGCCGACGATATCCATAAAGCTAAGTTCACATAATCGAGAAATGCACTAGTTTCCGGCTGACACGAACATTTGTAGACCGGGAGCGGAGTACGCCACAATTCCGAATCGAGCATTACCGGTTCCGTAGTGACAACCTTTTGTTCTGCGTCCATTTTACTCCAGTTCGGACTGAAGCAGTCTAGCGCTCGAGATTAAACTCGTCGTGAAATTTTATCAACTAGGATGATTAGCTATCAAAGGTTGTCTAGAAACGATGGCTTTAAAGGATAAGGCTGGTTATTGTGTGATCTAATATTTGTCATTTATTTTTTATGTTTTACAGTATTAGTCTAGACTAATAAGTCTAGTAATATTTGAATAATCAGAAAACTGAACTACTCGCATCAAGAAACAAAGTGAAATTCTGAATACATTCTATTTAAATTTTAATTTTAATGAAAGTGATTGGTTAATTTGTATTTTGTTTAGATACCTAATTTTCAGCATGGTATAATATTTATAAGTGACTCTGTATTCTTAGGAGATAATCATAAAAAGTAGATAGCCAAATATGGCACTGTGAGAAATAATTTGGTTAGTAAATATATATTAATAATGATATTTAATTTCGCTATTATTTCCCATATCCAGACTAAACCTTTTGGATTCGGAAGAACTAACCACTACTAACAGAAGTTCCATAACGTAGACATCATGATATGATCTAGACGATGTCACGTAATTCTAGATGGGATAGTCAGAAGCATTGTCAACTGACGATGTTGTAGTGAACGTAACACTGGAGATGTTGCTATTAATAATTACGTTAATGCAACTTGGAGAAGGCAAGCCTATAGTCGTCTCTCAGATTAATTTGGTTTATTATCGATGTAAGCAAATCACTCCGATTTCCTCTCAAGGCTACATAACCTTCTATATAATTGATTAATCTTCAACATGTCACAATATTAGAGTTGGCTTAATAACAGTGGGAAATTGATCACTAATATTGAAGGTCTCTACAGCTGGTGGTCAGTCATCATAACGTTTGTAGTTTTACATATTATTCCCATAGTAGGAGATTTTAATGTATTACTATAATTTATTGAGTAAATTAGAACTCCGCAAAATAACATCATATTCATAAAAACCCAAACTCAAATCAATTGGATTTTGGTGCACATAGAAATAAAGATCTTTCTTAATTGTCATCTTTTTTTATTTTATATATTACTTATATATTTCTACAAGTAAATTGTAATGATTTCTACAAGTAGGAGGTAATTCTTCCACTTAACTTAATCATGAATAGTTTGGAAATTATTCATAAATATATTTATGGACATAAATTCCAGTAACTGCGAATATGTAATTATGTTATTATTATATAATATTTAATTAGGTACTTAAATAACAAATCTACTTATTTCATTACTACTTTGAATAAATCATTTGGATCAAAAGGCTGTTGTATAGTAAAAGGCCAATTTATGGAGCAATAAATATTTACCTATGGTTCCAGTGAATTGAATTGCAAAATATGAAATATTTATCAAATAATAATGTAATTGACAATCATTGTCCGTGCAGTAAATTTATTAACTACCAGGGATTATTATACTACTGTTGGATGATCAATGAACAAATAATTTAGAGAGTTGGGAATAACCGTCATAGTGACATCATAATAGATTTCTGGAATCATTCATATTCACTCAATTGGCAGTTATGGCTAATTTATATTATGAAACCAGTAGACTGAAACTAGTTTCATGGTTTCAGGACATTGATTAATTCTATCAGCAGTTTCATGTGTAAACCTATAATTTTGAAAAGTATGCCTTACAGTCATGAAACCGGAACGTGAGTAAACTAAAAAGACCGAGTATGCAACTAACTACCATTTTTTTTAAAGCCGGCGGAAATCAATATAAAGTTGAAATAATATTATAGCGTTTACTTTTATGTTTGACGCAGTAATTATTTAACTACTGCATTAAATAATAACATAGGTTTATTATTATTAAGTTTTAATTGATTTGTACAATATTTCAGCAATATTGCTATCCGTAATCCGTATTTTAATGTATCAAGTGGTTGTGGTTGTATGTCAAAAAGTGGTGATTTAATTATATACAAAATAATTATAATTAAAATTCTAACTAATTATAATAAAATAATGAACTCTTGGTAAATGATTAGATATAAAGTTTTTGAAAAGTCTATACATGCTTTCATTTTTTTGCGATTACATTAAAAGATAAAGCCCGTGTACTTATGGCATCATGAGTTATGTTATCGAATAATGTGCTATAAAAATAATGATCTACATATTAGTACAGAAATAGGCAAAATGTCGATTACACACAGAAAAATATCATATTAATATTTTCCTTTTTATTAAATTCGTTGACAAAGTTTCCAATTTGCAGATTCTTGTAGAAAATTGGCAATTAGATAAATGATTATTGGTTTTTATTACGTATATATTACGAACCTACATTAATATTGGTGATTACATCAAATTGGTCATTTTGGACGGTCGAAAATAACGGAACAGCAAATTACTTCAAACAAAATATTTTTGTTCCAAATAAAGTCTTTCTATTTATGGTCTAATCTGTGATTTTTGCTTTATATAATTCTTTAACCTGAACAGATAAATGCAGAGCATACTCAACATCGGGGGAATTTATTGAATGTGACTGAACTGGAATGGAAAAATAACACCATTGCTTGTTTCCTGTCGATTTCCTTCGAAATACAGCTTAGTAGTAGGTATATGTACATACCTTCAATCACGCCGTTACTGTTATGGTTCATTTAGATAATCCGTAGATAATAAAATAGATGCTAATATGCAGTAGCAGTGATATATGATTAATTCATAATAAAATGGGAAAACATAATAATTCCTTACAGTTGCAATTTACTTCAAACGGCGCCAGTTCCATAAGCGCGCGTCAGAGCGCATTTAAGACTGAGGTAAAGGAAATTAAATTGTCTTCACCGTAATTTAAAGTTCATAATTTGCATGAAACTTGTTAAACTTTGTCACTTTTACCAAGCAGCCGGTTAGGTCAGTTGCCTGCATATTCCGCTGAAAGCTATAGGTTACGCTCACATTTCGTGAACAACACAATTGTGAATCATTTTCTTCTATGAAAGACATTGTTAAATGCACAAGCACGTACTTTTGAAATCTAGTGTCTGGAGTTGTTAAGAGTTGGTCTAGTTGCATTTGCAGTAAGTTAATTAGACTTAAAAGTTATGAGTAGTCTACAATTACATTTTTACTGTACTTTTCCAGAGATATCCCCATCACTTATCCATTCAGAAGCATGATCTTTGATACTTACTAATTATAACTTAACTAATCATATTCATTTTATGACGTTTTACTAAATAAATTATTTTATTATTAATACTAAATACCCACCTAAATTCTAAAGTTGAGGCGCCGTGATCAGCAAACAGAACAACGGGTGGTGAATAGCGTTCGTTGGCACCACAAAGTCGTGTTTCAGCTGCGCTGCCTTGCACTGCACCCGCGGCGCCCAATTGCAACCATCCTCCAATGCAACTGTTGAATATTTAATATTACTGAAGACCCTTATTATACAGTCATATATTTATTTGTCGTCTATCTGTATATTTAGACAAGATTATCCAAAAATAATCGTAGTTCAAGTATCTATATTATTTTGCAGTTTGGCTGCAGCATAATATTTATTTTAGTTTTACTTTAATATTTTCGTCAAGTATATCAGACTAAAACTGCGATATTAGTAAAAAAAAAAGTTTTATAAGACATACAGTATATGTTATAATCTACTATGTAACTAAGGCAGTAAGTAAATAACTTATATTGAAATATATTTTCCTCTCTATATTTATACTCTTATTATATTATGTTATACAATTTGTTCATAAATAATAATAACAGTTTCAGTTGTGTAAAACAAACTTAACAAATCCAACTTTATAATTAAATATAATTCAATTCTGATTATTTAAATTGGTTACGCGTTTATTTCTGCTTGATCATATAATTATTACTTATATAAATATTGTTAGTTAATGGACAAGCACAACAGTTTTCAGACATAAAAGTAAGTAGATCTTTATTAAAAAAATATAAATGTGTAATATTATCCCAATATATAAACATTAAATTATTGGATGCTAGCCGTAATCGTAACATCGTCTGCTGCGTAGCATCGTCTGCTTTTTTGAGATATAAAATCTCCGTTCTCAGGATGCAATCTATCTTCACGTCTTTCAATAAGATCCTTTCCGTTGTATAGTCGTGAAAAGAATACCAACAAACAAGCAGACGACATACTTTCGCATTTTTAATATTAGTATTGGTATACTATACCGAAATGTACGATGTCAATTTTTTTTGTTCACTCTTATTCGTATTAGTGCGACATTTTCTTTCGGTAGACCAGGCACTTTTCTCAATAGTGATTAACCCCCATCCATTACGTCCGTCTATACAATATGCTGCAATACACGTATTGCCTCTAAACGAGACGGTCTCAGCATTTCTTAGGCTTCGGACTAAGTATCTTACGCAGTTTGAAAGCCAAATGTTAAACGTTTGCCTACCAGATTTTAGGTTAAGTAACTTCAATATCAGAAAAAGTTAGAAACGACATAGCTTACCTTACGAACAAAATTATCTGTATCACATATATATAAATAATTATTATCTATAAAGTAAACAAAAACCATTACTTTAAGCTCTGAGTTTTCGTGTTCGATTCGCTAGATAGATAGGTAGGTATAACGCATAAAAACGTATTTAATAATATACCTACTAAGGATAAATTGAACATTTGTGCAATTTATTTCCTTAGAATTTCTTATAATCTGGTTGACATGAAAAAACATAAATATTAGTTGGTCCCAGGTTCGATGTGAAGACGGTCCGCTTGAAATATTCAATTTGACGGGACATTGATCATAACCGCTGTATGTGACAATCTCGGGCCCGTCACACCCAAATCTATGCTTCGATTATTATCGATTCGTCCTTCATAAAATGTCAATTTTTATGAAAGCCAAATCGATAAGTTATAGTTGTATAAAAATATACAATATAGAACACATTTTTATTATTATATACAATAACTAGCTGACCCCACAAACGTTGTTTTGGTGTCAGCTTGTTTGCTATTCAAGTTACATAAATGAGTAAATTTCACATTAAAGTTGTGGTTCGAAATCTTTTGTGAAATAAACAAAAATAGCCATATCAATGGCCAATAAATTACATTTATTAATCTATTTTATGAACTTCTTGGACCTTAGAATAATACTTATAGAACAATTATTTATCAGATTGCAATGAAACTCATTGCTTGCGAACTTCATTATAATATCACCCGTAACGGGTTGTTATTGCCAGAAAGATTTAACAATTGTACAGTATACAACTGTGTGAATCAAAAAATATATACAAAGTAAAAATGGTTTCTAAAGAATATTGTTTTGAACAAATTGTATTTTACAAACAGCTGACTACGAGGCTGAATTTCTACAAAAATAATAATAATAATAACAAAGTCAATTATATCTGTGCAAAAATCACATATCTACCAACTTATTAAATACTTTAAACAATAAAAAAGTTCGGTGTTGTAAAAGAATATATAGACTAATAAATATAAACCAGCTGTTTAAACACAAGATAATGAGGCAGAAAAAAAATATTAATACAAAGTTTCCCATACTTATTTGATTCTAAAAATAATTATATGTATTGAATAAGAACCTTACAAACATGTAAAATTATAAATATTCTCTATTTTTAATAGGTTTACATAAAATTGTTTGACATTTGTCCTTTTAAACAAAATTGTATTACTCACCCAGTACCATTAAATCGTCCTACTGATACAAGTCTATACAGTTGTATCTCCACCCGTTGACCAGCATCAGGTTGAAGGATGTATGAGCACGATCCTGGACCTTCGATTGACGGTGATTTGATCTGCCCAAACGTTTTACCAGACTTGCTTTTGAGGATACGCGAGTCGATGGTAATGTTGCACACTAGAAATAGAATATCAAATCAACAATTTGCACAATCTATTATATATTGATTTTGTCATAATTATTTTTTTTACGTATTAATCAGGTGATTTCAGAAAATCACTACCTAGTATAAAACAAAGTCGCTGTCGCTGTCTGTCCGTCCCTATGTAAAATACTATAAATATATATGTATACTACGCAACAGATTTTGAAGCGGTTTTTAATAGATAGAGTGATTCAAGAGGAAGGTTTATATGTATAATACATGTACACATATGCAAAGCCGGGGCGAGTAGCTAGTAATCTATATATCGACAATTTATTTACCGTACATATGTATAGTTTAAATATATATAGATATATATTTACTATTTGTACCTACGTGAGACAAAGGTATTCATAGTAATAAATTAATTTAAAAAACAATGGCCTTAAAACTTTTCATACATTTATTATTATGCCCGTCACACGGTAGGTACCTACTATTTTAGTACGCACAATATAACACAGGACATGTGTTATAAATTATATTTAGTATTTTGATTGATTAAAATCTGTGTGCAACGTTTGATTGATTTTGGATTGGGATTTGATTGGTCTTGTTTGAAATCCGACACGCATAAAATGTAGTAACATATAAATGACTAGCTAGACGGTTTCATCCGCAAGAAATTTGTAGCCTATGTGATTACATATTATATATTCGGATGTATAAAATATATTACTGTAAAGTTTCATGAAAATCAGGTCATTAATTTTTACGTGGTTATCTATACTCACAAACTTTCGCGTTTATAATATTATTAACATATATGTTTATGAGTTTCAATTACTTATCTTTGTACAACTAAAACAAAATGCCACTGTCAACTAAAAATTCGAGTTCGACCCTCACTGGACGAGTAAAAGCATCCTAAAGCCTTCATGTTGACTAAGGGTTAATAATGGTCCGTTATTTAAGGAAAAGGTAAACATTGTTCGGGTCTCAATACTCGTGGGATCAGAGAGTGCCTGCCAACAAACAGTCCGTTTTCAAATTGTCGTTCATTGTTTGTGCTAATATTCACAGCGACAAAGATAATCTTGAAACATTAAAATGCGTGTTTTAATTGGTTTAATTTCTAATCTCTGGTACGTCGCACAACCACATCAATGATATGGGTCATTCAATTATACCTCTATACTTTGTGATAATTGCGTATTCAATTAAGTTTCACTGTATTTGAATGGATAACATTTTATTACAATTCATAATGTTAATAAACAATTGTATTTTCATCTCGTACGTTTTAATAACAGTTTTAGATCTAGAATGTGAAGTTTAAAATAAAAGCTTTATTTATTGTTTAATTACAAATACTAAGCAATCTAATATGATTGCTTAGAATTTGTAATTATCGATACACATCAATTCATATCTGAGATACAAAAGCCGCATAATTTATTTTGTTTCACGTAAGTATTTAGTAATTAACATTCAAATTGTATGAAATCAAATGTACTACTAAAATTTAATTCTAAAATTATTTTAACCATCAAATAGACTTGAAATTAATAATATATATAGACCAAAACATATAAAATAAAAAATACATAAAAAGAATTTCGAACTAAACACCTCCAACTTGTTAACAGTCATGCATAAAATACAGGTACATTGGAAACCACTTCATTTTAAAGGTAACAGAATAATACTCACTTAAAAAATAGATAGAATAGAATAGAAGGAACTCTATAGCGATTCTAACAACATCAAAACACTAAAATATATATTATATTTGACGCCCTGGGTGGTCTAGCGATTTAGCACATCGCCTTACTCTCGATGGTCGCGGGTGTAATTCCTCGCGCGATTGGTGAGTATTGGCCTGGGTGTATTCTGTTTATATTAGGTATGTATTTACCAAAAAAATATTTAATTATTTTTATCAATTCTTTAGTACCCACAACACAAGCAAGCTCTGATTTGCTTGGATCTATATGGTATTTTTTTATTATTGTATTTATATGAAAAATGTACGATATATGTATTATACATATGTACAGCGAAACCCCACTAAAAAGAGAATAACCTGCACGGGCCGAATATGGAACGCGGCCACAAAGTTCCAATTTCAATATTTATAGTAGTTTAATAGTTTTTAATTGGAATATTCTTAATTTCAAATCAGATCTCTAAAACGCAGACTAGGTTTTTGTGACAATTGTGATTTGCGATACGATTTCAGATACACATTAGTTAAAACTTCTAACAGTGACATACTTCTTTTAGTTAGCACAGTAAAGAGTTGAAATATTTTATTACAAAATTTAATTAAAATTTGTCGTCATATGGTTTTTATATACTAGCTGGATGCGAGTACTGTAATTCGTAATACGCGCTATTAATAAATATATACTCACTGTTAGCACAGTACTGTTCTAGGCCGCATTGGGCACATCTCGTGGGTGCAACATCCCCGCATGGGCAGGCACCGTCGCGTACGCAGCACGCACAGTCCTCGCCGTCGCCGCCTGGGCACGCACACCCAGTCGAAGACTGGGTCCATAGATCCACTTGACCTAAAATAAATAATATCATACATTTAGCATCCATTTTCGAGGATGTGGTATTAAAAGGTGGACATTTTTATTATGTAAAATTCGTTTTTAGTTGCGAATTTGCGTTGAGAATAGCTTACGTTCGTTACTGTGGTGAAATTTTCATAAATGTAGCTCAAAAATTTAAGTTGTGTTAGCAGTGTTAACAGCACTAATTGTTAGTTAAATTATTTGACGAATATATAGCAAATTATTTAGTCATATAGTATATATAGAGTACTTAGTAGTTTTAAGGTTATAGTAAATAACGTGATGACTGCGAACAGGGATGAATGGAAGAGAACAACATATTACGCCAACCCTAATTCAATGAAATAAGGAAGAAGTAGTTTAGTTTATAGTATAAATATACTATACAGTATAGATATATATAGATAGATAGATATATACTACTATCATGAAGAAAAATTGGTAATAGTGTTTAAATAGAATATGTGTCTAACATATTTAAAATATCCCTTGTCTGAACAACCAACGCCAGACATGGTCGTCTCCTAAATAATTGACAGATTATTTAAGAATAAGAATAAGAATAAGAATAACATTTATTTCATAAAATATAACTTAAATAACATTGTAACTATGACCCCACACTAGGCAATGCCTGTATCGTGGAAATCAAAGCAGGTTTGACAGTTAACGTTACATTGGTACGGCGATCAGAGTGCATATAAAAATTTAGTGTTTATATAATATTAATACTAGTAATATATGACAAAAAATAAAATAAAATAAACAAAGAATACAATAATAAAAATTACAGATATGTATTTGTTAGTCGGCGAGTGTGTGTGTGTATGTGTGTACGTGTGAGTGTGTGTGTGTGTGTGTGTTTGAGTGAGTAAGAATGTTATAAATTCATATAGAATCGTTAGAATATTTCAGAATTGTGTAAAATTTATATTACGGGTTTTAGTATTTTCTCAGTGTCCTCGTATGTCCAGGACATCAGTATACTGTTGAGGAGTGTTTTTAAACCTGATAACTGAGAGTGTTTCATATCAATTAGTTTGCAAATTTGATTGTATATGTGTGGAAAGAGAATTTTTTTGTGACGTTGAGCAAATGATGTTTTAGCCTTAGACACAGGAGCTTTATAGATTCTCTTCTTTAATATATCTTTGTATGTTGGTAGACTCTTCACATATTTGTGCATGTATACAGTAACTCGCATTACAAACAATTTGCGCACGCTCAAGACCTCAGCCTCTTTATACAATTGCATCGTGTCGAATAGTCGCGGTTTTTTTAGAGAAACCTTCAGAACAGCTCGTTGAGCTCTTTCTAAGGGAATTAAATTGGACTTCGTAATACCTCCCCAGGCTAGTAGACAATAATTTATTAAAGACTGACATAACGCTAAGTATACCAATTTCAGAGTAGTGTTGTCTGAAATGACTCTCAATAATTTCATTGTGTACATTAATTTCTCTATAACTCTTTTTGCGGTAATTGATATATGTTTCTTGAAATTTAAATTTTCGTCCAGTTCAATTCCAAGATACCTCAGCGAGACCACCCTGTTGATAATATCACAATTACAGTAAGCGTTGGAAGTACCATTAGGCGATAGACAGTTTTTGTGTATTTTAATATTGAACTTACTTGAAGGTGGGCGAGATACAGCTGTTTTATGGAAACACAAATACTGGGTCTTAGACGCGTTTAATGTTAGGAGATTATAGTCCAGCCACTCAGACACTTGTCGAAGACCACATTCAGCCATGTACTGCGTTTCCTGCCAAGTTGGGCCATGGAATATGAGAGCAGTATCATCTGCGTAACAGATTGCGTTACAGCTTTGGAGCGGGAGATTTAGAATCATTAATATATATAGTAAATAAGATTGGACCCAGAATGCTCCCTTGGGGAACCCCAAAAGATACATGTATAGGATCACTTATATGATCACCAATCTTGATACATTGATTTCTATGCGACAAATAACTCTCAAACCAGTTTAGTGGCAAGCCACGTATTCCAACACACTCCAGCTTTTTGAGGAGTATAGGTGTAGAAACAGTGTCAAATGCCTTAGCAAGGTCCAGAAAAACACCTATGCAACACCTACCCTCATCGAGGTGATCAACAACAGCATCCATTAGAATGATTACAGCATCTTCAGTGGACTTTCCCTGACGAAATCCAAACTGTTTGTCATTTAGAAGGCTGTTTTGATTGAGGAATTTAACTAGCCGCTTATAGATGATGCGTTCTAAAAGTTTCGAAAAAGCTGGCAAAAGTGATATTGGACGGTAGTTAGTCGGGTCGTCTTTGCTACCTGCTTTATATATGGGAATCACCACCGCCGTTTTCCAGACCTGCGGGAAAGTCCCTGACGATATACTCAGATTAAATATTGAGGCTAACGGTTCAGCTATAAGATGTCCAATATTCTTCAAAATACTATTATTCAGACCATCAAAACCAGAGGTGTTTCCTGATTTAAGAGATTTTATTAAACACAGCACTTCATGAGAATCGGTAGGTTCCATAAAAAAAGAGTTTTTAGGTGAATTAGTGTAGTGTACTTTACTGGCGATTGAGTCCTGTGTTTCATTTAATCTAGTCAAAATTTTATTTGCGAGGTTACTACCTGTGGAAGAGAGGCAGGTGTTACAATAATTGAGAGACTCTTTAATATTGTTTCTAGTCCTAATTAGCTCTTCGGGTAACGAGACAGTTGCAGTGTTATGAGTAATGTGCCTAATAGTATTCCATAGTTTTTTTGGAGCATCCTTATTTTGGTTTATCAGCTTGTTATAATAATCAGCTTTAAGTTTCCTTAGTAAGTTAATATAAAAATTTCTGTACCGTGAATAAATTAGTTTTTTTACGCTATTGTTGGGATCTTTACGCAAATTGCTGTGTAACTTATCACGATGTTTAGAACACCTCATAAGTCCAGGAGTCATCCAAGGTTCGATATTAAATTTGGAGCGACTAACTTTCACAATCTTAGAGTGCCTCGATAAAGCATCCACGACTGTGGAGGAGAAGAGAGATACTGCCTTCTCAATATCATTTGTGTTCATCAAAGAATGCCAATTTATCAAATGAAGATCAGAATGCAGCGATTCATAGTCTACTCTAATCCTTGAACGTGTCTGAGCATTTTGTTTTTGATGCGTTAACGTAATTCCTGCCATAGTGATTTCATGATCAGTTATATCAGAGGAACAAACTATAGATTCTGCCCTGCTCTTAATTGGTACAAAAATATGATCCAGACAAGTTTTTTGGCGAGTAGCTATATCAATGCTCGATGTAAGCCCAAATTCAGCAAGTACATTTAAGTATTCGGAAACATAATTGGTATCTGTTTCTGGGCTTAATATATCTACGTTTAGGTCCCCTGTAAAGATTAGAAATGGATTGTAAGTAAGTTTTTTCAAAACTGAGCCAAGGGAATAAATAAAACGACTAGGGTTTTGGAAACTTGGAGACCTGTAAGCTGCTACTACTTGAAAACAATTTGGAGCCTCGATCACAACACAATTAGCGTCCTCTACCTCCAGTTCCGAGGAAATGTATGACCATTTATCCTTAACAAAAACCGTTATACCGCCTGATTTATTTATGTACTTTTTTGAGTTGAAAGACGTGTAACCTTTAATTTGGTTTACAGTGGAATTTTCATTTAACCAACACTCTGTAAGGACTATGACATCAAAGTCAATATTCATTCTTTTAAAAACAACCAAAAAACTATCAAAATTTTTATGAAGACTTCTTATGTTTAAATTTAAGATTTTCAGATTATATTTACAAATTACTCGGGTGCATTCTTCCGGTAATGGTATAGTATGGCATTTTACTTTAAAAGAGTTATCAATTTCTTCAAGTAAATTCAGGGATGCCATGGAAAAATAGTAAAGAGAAAGGGTTCCAAATTATGCTTAGTAAGCCATAGCTAAGAACATACCAAATGCAACACCCATGTAATAAGAAAATGAACTATTTACTTCCAAATAATGTGTGAAACTAAAAAGTCCGCCAAGGACACTGTGAAGTAAAGTATGAACAGTGTATGTGTGTGTGGTAAAAATGAGAGTGTAATACAGTACGCATACAATATCAAATAACATAATCAAGACGAACAAAACTATACATTCAAAAATATTAATACAAGACAAAGTATATGACTTTTGAAAACAATAACAAGAGAATAACTGAAACAGTGAGCTGGGCTGATTAAGATATAATGACCGACGATTCTCCCTGTAAGCTGGACTGATTTTTACCAGTTGTAGGAAGTGCGCGTTCGAGATCATTTTCGGACTGTATTTTAATAGCAGGGTATCCATCTCTGTAGTCCCCCTTCCGAAGAAAAATGTTACCACTTCGTACCCAGCAGTGTTTGAAGCCGTGTTTTTTTGCAAATAGCCTGGTGTCCCGAAATAAGCGACGATTATTAAACGTTAGTCGTTCATTGATATAAACCGTCGTATCAGAACCCTCCACTAATATATCCTTGGATTTGAGAGGACGACGACTTCTTGAACGTTCTAAGAACTCATCACGTTTGGATCGGCGAACGATTTATTAGGATACTTACTACTACCATCAAGAAAAATTGGTGTCCATGCAAGCTGCGCAGAGGCAATGGTGCACGCGGCAGCAGCAAGTAACGCTAACGCATGCCGCATCGTGCGCGCGGGCAGTCACCGCGCCGCTTGCACCGCCAGCCTCCCTCGCCGTCTTCTCATTACCTCGCACAATCACTTACTACACTTCTTATTGTCATACACACCTAACAAAAACTAAATAACTTTTTATGATGCACTGTACTATGGTTGGCATGATTACAAGCAAACTAAAGTCTTTCAGTGTTACCTACTATCACTATACAATCGAATTTATCGCAACTTTACTATAAATCTCCGTAGTGTTTCTTCTTTCATTATCATTGGATTTTGTACGAAGGTTTGCATATCTGTAACAAAATTAAGTGGTTATAGTATTATGTATCACAATATTTCATAGTGATCAGGATTCTAACTATTAATATTAGTTTTTTGACCTTGTAAATAATAGAGATTCTGTCAAAATTACAATTGCAAGTTATGCTTAAATAATAAAGAAAGAGTATTTGTAGTATATTATTCAATAGTGGCTACATCTTTCTATGAGTACAGAGGATTTGAAAATTAATAGTTATTCTGTCGTAACATAATTTTATTCCAAAATTCGTAGGTGTTTTTATGACAACATTTACGGACTAATTGTTGTTATTTATTAATATATATTATATGGCAATGTTATAGATTGACTTGTATCCAGAGCCGTAAAATATTAAAAAAAAGTTTTTTACAAGCAAGATTTTATATGTACAGAATACGTAAGATAATGTATAGATTACTTATTTCATGACAGTCACGGCCAACGACAACTTGAATCTATGGCTAGACTATTTTGAGGTCTTGAAACAGAAACTTGACCACATGGCCATCTTCATAGAATCGCAACGTAGTGGTGAAACGTAATACTAAAATAGCTAAAATATATACTATAATACTCATAAATATTATGATAGCAGTCTCGGTTCAATGCTTCGCTTGTAATGGCTATTTATTCATATTATTTGTAATCAGCTAAAAGGTTAGATCGATGGTGCACTGTAGCAAACAATATCAAACGTTATTTACCTCAGAATTAACAGATATAGCATGATTATCAATTCAAGATTGTTTTTCCCCGATTCTTTATACATATATTTTTTCTTATATAAAGGTGTTCAAATAATCAGTTAGCTAATTAATGTAAAATATTGGGTATTAATTGCCGCTGACTTTTGACATAATCGATTTAGATTCAATGTTAAATCACATGCAGCACATGACTTTTATTTTCAAAAGATTATATGAACATTAACATTTTTTATCACTATCCCTACTGTCCAGTCCTGCCTAACTGTGTATATATAGTAAATAGTTAATAAAACAATGGAAATTAACTAAGAAAATTTTAATAACATAGCCGCCAATTTGTTTAAACACAATGTACAAAACAAAACGTAACCCAATATAGAGACACTATTCAACGACAGTAATAACAACAGGGTGTTGATGGCTCTGCAATACGTGTTCGTATGCAATCTACATACTGACACTCGGGACACGACACACAAGGCTGGCAATGACGATTCCTCAAATGTACCCTTTCACGCAGTAGGCAAGATGGCGCATTTACTTGCTTTTTCCTCTTATAATAAAAACAACAGTTTCCCTGCAAACGCAAATAAAAAATAAACATTTTACCTACTATGTAAGTTCATTTGGAAAAAAATGAAAATCTAAACTTTGTTTATTCCAACGCACAAGTCGAGCTAAACTTTGAAAAAATTGTTCCAGGATTGGAGACACCAATCCCGTTATTTGCATAAGCAGATAAGTTTCTTAACTCGAGCCTCGTAAATTAATTAACTTTGCAGGTAAAAAAGCAAAAATCGTTAGACGAAAATCCTGCCCGGAAAGTTGTCGTGTTTTCAGTAATACTACGCTTTTTGTTAATTGCTAAAGCTTAGAGAAAGTCAGAGAGGGAGTACGAGAAACAGAAAAGTTTAAATTCCTTTATCCAATCTACTTATCTCTGTATTTATTTCCGAAATATCAGGTATATTTAAGAACCCTGTTTGTAAGTGCTCATTTGCATGAGTGTATATTTGACGTTAATTATCATTTAAACTTTAATAACCATTATTACCTATTGTTATTTACCCAAAATTTACCTTTTGTTATATTCATTTTAGTAAGATTGGAACAACTAAGGGGAATCAGTATGTTGCGTATAGACAGACAGTTAAACGCGGCCATGCAATCCATCGGATTATAGGGCCCAATCACAAAGAGCCATATCTTGAGCCTCAGTCGGAAATAAATCCCCATCTGAACCCTCGCCGCATTCGGCGAATAAACATTGTGGCCAGGACGCGGAGCGATCGATGTTAAAAACACACCAAGCAACCAGCCTCTAAATAACGCCTAATCTTCTGTAATTTGCTCGCAAACGGGTAGTACGATTCAATTAAAATTCTAATTCAACGAATAACTCGATGTTTGAATACTTTAATTTTAACATCAGTTAGGGATGCTTTGTGGTAACATTTACTCTACAATTTAAACTATTTAAAAGTAGCTCTAACATTTCTTCTTACGCCGTAACTTAATCTAATATGAAGTTTTTTAATAAGATAGGTTTCAATTTAAATTTCGACTTTCATATCAGATTCATTTTTCTAGTTCTGTCCGACTGAAGTTCGTAACAAAATTGGATTTTTCTCGCGCGGCATAAACGGCATTTATTCAGCTTTTTGCTTTTGGCTTCTGAAAGGATATTGCGTGGGAATCAATTCAGGTGGCGGTTATCCAACCACTGGCTGCATATTAATTTCACGTAAAATGCTTCGGCTAACTTTATACTGTTCTCAGCGTAATCTCAAAATTTAGTACCATTTAATAATTTCACGGACTATAAAGCATACGAACTCAATATCTCCCAAAGAAGTTCCATAAGGAACAGTAGTATTTTTATAAAAGTTCTTAGTTTAATGAATTTTCATGTATATTGTAATATTACCTATAAAGATATTTATATGCTTCTTCTTGAGGGGTCTTAAGCCTTTTAATACAGAGATATAAATTTTAATTCTGTGTAGTATAAACTACCCTCATTTTACTTTAAGCATGTGAAATCATGGCCGAATTAATATAGGAAATCTGTAGTGCTTATCTAAAATAGAAGAAAATATTTATATTATTTTTTATAAAACATATAGACCTCAATTGACTTTTTCAGGATTTTATTAATGTAATATTCAAGTATTTTTTTCATACCCTTTCATCTTCAGATCGGTATCGATGGACCTCGTTGTGTGAATCAGCACAGTACATGGACTCGACGAATGGTTTTCTTTTCGCTTTGGTGCCTATAGCCACCTCGCAAGCTCGTCGCATCAGAACAGTGGGTTGATTACGCTGAAACAATAGAAATAGTTATGTTGAATGCATATATTTAAACTAATGTCAATATAACTAAATTTATATATTTTTTTGTTTATTTGTATACATATTAGACAATAGAACTAAACGTAGACTTCTAACTAGGCCCATAACTATGCAAAGCGTCTCAGGCATAATACAAGAAAATCCGCTTACGTTAGAGCGTCCCGTTTGTTTCTTACCCTTTACTTAATGTCAACAATTTCTCAAATGCCACAAGTTTTGTGTTAATTCGTTATTTCCATGTAATTTTCAAAGTAGAATCATAAGAAACAATTCTAGTCATCTAATAAATCTTCAAGGGACAATTCTATAGGTTTTTTCCTAAGCGCTCTACAGCCAAGAACGTGCTTGGCGTCACATAGAGGTACTTTAGCCGGATCTCCCACTTTGACCGGATTAGTGCAGACATCACATTCGATCGACACGTCATAAGGATGCCTGACGAGGAAATTTGTAGTGCCCAGTAGCTTCGAGTGCTCCTGGTCTTGCATGCCGTTACGCTTGAAGGCAGTCACGGGTAACTTGCGTACCTGTAATCGGTCAGATACATATCTGCTGTTTAAACCCGTTTGTCGTATACCATTTACTTGTGAGAGGTTAATATAATAAATCCGATATGCCTAATACTAACAATAAGAAATAAATTATTTCAACATACAACAAAAAAAATCTGACAATAGGTCACTTACGATAATTATTTCTGCCCTGATTTATGTATATACCTGCATAATTGCTTTCTAATTTACACGTTATTTGATGCCGACTAATGAGTAATTAAACCTAACTCACACATTAGAGAGGCATCACTTTTTATGCTTGGCCGGAAGTTTCTTCGTAGGTTTGATAGGAATACCAATTGGTTGATAACCCCATATGGCATTGTGCCAACATTTACGTATGTATGATATTCCACTACCACTTTCTGTAAAATTTTGATCTTGCAGTCCATTACGCTTTAACGCAGATGATGGTAGTGGATAAACCTGGTGAACGTATGTTTTTATTTCACTAGAAGATGAAACTGACACTGGTCTCTAATAACCTAAGGTATGCCTGTATTTACATAATAAATGTTTTCACTTTTTATTTTTCTTTTTAACAGGCAGCATTTCCTGTGTAATTTTGGGATATAGTTTGCGTAAAGGTTCAACTGCAGTATATACACAAGGCATGTGAAAGCCTGTCCCGGCACATAAATATCGAATTGCTCCTCTATAACTATGAATTTGGTCCTGCATCCCATTCCACCGGTATGCGGACATCGGCAGCCTACCGTGACGTGTAGGAACGTATCGTTCCTGAAACCAACAACCAGTAAGTTGTATACATAAATGTTTTCGCTATTGGTTTCAGAAATTAAAAATGTTTACTTTGTATATTGTATGTTTGTGTATTATTGTTACCTACTCTTATTTTGTCATCCAATTTGATGGTTCACAATTTGACTGAATCTTATAATATATTCTCTATTTTAATATTGTTTAAATATATAGGTACTCCTAGATATTAGTTTTACAAAATTAGTCAAAACTGGTTTGCATATTTTTTACATTATAAAATATTAAAATAAACTTACAATTCGTCCATCTTCATACCGATAACAAGGTATAACGTATTTAGTTTTGACAGGTTTACAGGTTGGTTGACAACAAGTTGGACAGCAGTCTTGTGGAGTACATGGTGGGGAACGTGTAGGGGGTGGCGAACGATTTCTATATCGAGGGGGACTATTGCAACCATGGTGCAATCGACAATGGGGATCATTGCATTGATCAACTCGCTCCTTTAGACGAGAAATCGGTGATCTAGGAGGCGTCCTGGGAAGATCTTTCTCGCAACAGTACACGAGACGTCCTTTAGGACATTGTGGTAGACAAGGATAAGATACTGTTTCCTCATAACATTTTGATGGGTAACAAGGAGCGACCAACATCGGAGTTACAGCGAATTCCCCACAATCATCAGAATAACAGTACGCCATGTTTTGATATATTTTCTGTATACAATTTTTATTTTCTTCTTTATCTCACATAATATTACTGATAATTTAGGAACATATTTTTAATTTAGACAACAATTTTTTTTCATGTCCTCAATTTTGAATTGTAGATTCTATTGCTTTTTATTAATATTATACTATATGGCTTTTAATTTATATATGAACAATAACTTTAATCAAATGAGGTTCTATTTTTGTTATAAAATCTATTTTTAATTAAGTTTCCATGTTAACTCTTTTTACACTCGTACACCATAGGCATTCGTATTTAAATAAAACTGGTATGAAATATAAAATTAATTGAAATAGCATGCAATATTTTAACTTAATTTAGTTTATGTATTATTATTATAAGATGTTTTTTTATTTTAGTTTAATATAAAGATGGCCTGAACATAGTGCTACTACAGGCTACGATGTTAAGTAATAGTAGTAAAAGTTAAATGTAATTATTAATTATAATATGATTATCTAAAATTAATCTAACAAATATTATTAGCTAAAGACATCCATTACTGAGGCAGTAATTTTATTTTTATTGCAGGTAATTCTTAAGTAAATGTAGTGTTTTCGAAATTTACAAATTTAATTATAATTAAACAGATTTAGATATTTATTTCTTATAATAGTTGAATCAGATGTGGATACAATTATGAATTCTACTGTAGTAAAGTTTAAAAGTAAACAAAATCATTCGCAGGTCACTTTTAAACTAAAAATAGAGTTACTTTACAAAAACGGCAACAGAGAACAAATTGCCTCTCTGACTACTCCATTTGGGATTACAGTCTTTCCATCTTATTGCATTGCTGTAATCCTTTCTCTATCTACTATCTAAAGATCTTAACGATACTTCAATAGGAAACCGAACAAAGGAAACTTTTTAAATTGCTTTAAAGTTTTCTGTTTGCACGAAGCAACCATGAAAATGCACTCTAGTGCGTTTGTTTGTATTGAAAATCTGCAAAGTAAACATTTTGCTTTTTACAAAACAACACTCAATATAATGGAATACAATTTTTCGTCTGATCCACACTTTAAAGATTTGCATATTGTGTAACATACATATTGTAGATTCATCTTCGTATTATATCCCTTACAAGATATACCGTATCTTAAAGCAGAGAATATCGATTCTCAAACGATCCTATTTTTGCTTAAAACTAAAGAAATGAAATGGAATTATCATTTTTTATTTAAAGGCACTAAATTCTATGTCATGCAAAAGTAAATGGTCTCTGATTAAAGGGATTGAAATTCCGTGCGGCGGCTCAAAGTAATCTTTGAAACTACTTAAATGGCTTCCTTTTCAGATAAGCGCTACTTATCGTTCAAAGACAGATTACTACAAGTTTCTTTGAGGTACAATAATGATCTTGTAACATAGTTTTTGGAAACGACTTTTAAGAAAAAGAAATAAACCTAATCACCTTTCTTTGAATTTTCTGCCTGCCGCATATATACGTACATATTAAAGATCTTTAAATTTAATTCATGTACAGAAAAGTTCGAATTTATTAAAATAATAAATTCAATAAATTAAACTTAAAAATTGTTTGAGTACCAAACACAACATTCTCCAGAAATATTCTCATAAATTAGGTTTAATAATATAAAGAAGAGGACTCATCTACTATGTGATAGATATTTTTTTATTAGTGTGCCGTACGATTATGTTCTTGTCCGCAGAACAACTAAACTGGTTAATAAATCTTATAAAGAAGAACGGTACCTTGGCTAAGTAGATGGAGTGTAGACTAACTATCTACATGATATTTATAATCTTAATAATATTATAAACATGAAAGTGTGTGAGTATGGATGTTTGTTACCAACTCTTTCACGCAAAAAGTACTGAACGGATTTTGATGAAATGTATAGGCTATAAATTTCATGTAGGTAAAACCGCTGGCACAGCGAGTATAGTGTCTACTACTGTGAAACTTCTGTTAAAAACTTTCGCTGTATCAAGTCGCAGTGTAAGCATCAGAATTTAAAAATCTAAATATATACTTACATAAAAAAACTGCGAAACAAATAAAACAATAAAAAAATCTATTCATGGTGGAAAGGGTTGAAAAACAATGATCGCGATCAGAAAGTGTATAAAATGTACTGTTAGTATAGTTTGCTAAGATGAGTTTTGATCGAGTTTCAACAACGTAGCAACAAACGAAGACGAGTGAAGTAGTAGTAGTAGTAAACGAAGAAGTATTGTACGTATATACTATACGTACAATTAGGAAAATATAATTAGGTATTCACTTGATTGATACAATTAACTATACAGTGTTTAGATATATCAATTGAATACATTTATGTATGCACACACGCACATTGAAGATAAACCCTCAGTAATAATCACATCTAACAACATCACCTGAAAAAGGCGATTATTTCCAATCGAGTAAATCCTTTCAATGTCTCCTTTGCGGTGTACACGATACCCTCGTACGTAGATATTTCCACTTTACATCACTTCAATAGTGTAAGAGATGTATGTACTATCCTGTATATTATTGTTAATATCACGTTATTATATTTGCTTATGCGCACAAATACCATCTAGGAATTATTTCAATTTATATTTCATGTGGATGAAAAAATCAGAATGAGTTTTTAATTCACTGCCTACCTATATTTTGATATTTATATTTCTGCTATTGTTATATTCCGCACGTTGTAGCATGGTGCGGGTGACAGTCATACAAAATATGTACACTAAAATGTAGGTTATTTATGAAGGCTTATTGTATTCAGCAAAACAATATATTTCAGGAAAGTATAGAAAATGTATATTGATTGAGTTCGATTTTAAATATCAAGTTCTACAATAAATAACAAATAATATATTAGCTTTCATTGATATCATTACATTACATATGAAGTAAGATATATAAAGTAAAGTTAGTTATTATTATATTATTATTTCGCACACTTGTACAATTAATATAACAATACCTAAAATTAATGAAAAAAACATTACACACAATTATAGTACACAACTGATATCAAAATACCAATGTCAAAAAATGTCAATATTGTTAATTGAACAATATTGACATTTTTTGAAATTGACAAACGTCGATTCGCTGATTTGACAATGTCAAATCAACGTATCGTTATCTGTTAATACGTAAAGCAAGTCTTTGACAATAGAATATTATTATTGTTTAAACTTATAATTTAAATTAATTATGGTCGCATTCGATCGATCACTGTTACCACTAATTATAATAGACATACATAGAGAAGATTAAAGTAGATACATAGATATTTGAAATAAAAAAAATATACAATGTATAGTTATTTATACTCCACAACAATGTTGAGAACAAATTAGTGTAACTTAGGTTACTATTTAAATAGTTGTCTTAATTTTTATTTATGCTTATTGTAATTATTAATCAAGTCTTTGTCAATTAATTGATTTTAATAAACAGTATTATTTAAAGAGCTGGCGTTAACCTCACCGTTTCTAATTTGGGCTATAAATGTCTCTCCTTTATGGAATATAAATAAGTCATACATTATTTTCAACGCAAATTCTATATGTCACAACCACAAAGAGAATAATATAATACTATACAATTAATTTAAACGTGTTAATAATATAATTGTAAAGGTCTAAAAGTGCCTCTATACAGAAATCATAATAGAAATTGCTTTATATAATCTGTGAATGAAAATGTATTATCCCATTAATATAACGCTCTCAACGCGAGAGGTCTATTGAACTCGACAGGATATACAGAGCAAATCCTATTATGATTTGTGTATGTTGTTTTTAGACACTCTTATCATACGTAATAATTTATGGTATCTATAATATTTTTTATATATTTACAAAAAAATACAGCTATGTATTTGTATTAATTGTACAGTGCCCATAACACAAGCTCTAGCTAGCTTAACTTGAGATTAGGTGGTAGTCTGTGCATGGTCCTGATATATTATTTAAAATTTTTATAAATAAATAGTCGTAAAATATTACGAGTAGTAAATATTCCATTCTGAATTTATTTAATTTTAATTTATTTAAGTGCCAATATTTGCAGATATTAAATAAAAGACAATAGCATCTCATCTAGAAATTACAAAAACTTAAAGGGGGGGCAAAATATGACGTATAACAATGGGTAGAACGTGTAATAAAGTTTGTGTAAATATCATCAGATAAATCTATTATCCGTTTTTGTAACATCGCCTACATCAGATCATCATAACATTTTTCATCGAAATAAATTCAATAATCATCAAACTATGCTAAGTAGATATAAATGTCATTGTCATAATATGACAATGACATTTATATTGTTTCAATATAAAATATTAATAAAATAGTAGACAATAGCCCCAGTTCCGCCCGTTTAGTTCCCCAACGAAATAGAAAATTAAATACTATTTTAATAAAGATTACATAGAAGCCGAAGTTTGCAATATTCTTTTATCAGTACATATAAATTTTTATATGTCGCATAAAAAGAAATCTCTATCGAACCGGGGTATCAACATAGCAAAAATAACTCATCAGAGCAAATAAGAGTACCTGAGATAAGAAGACTATTACTGTTATTTACATAAAGAGCACATCGCCACAATGAGCCCCGCAAGTGGTGGAAATGTATAAGGATGTATTTATTTATTTATGACGGTACTTTTGTCAAAAGAGCTTGGGGTTCATTCGCGTGATTTATGAACCATTCCACAAAGAGGGTTCATATACGCCTATTTATCGAGACGTGATAAATTCTTCCGCTTGTATGGAATATAAGAGTATTGAATGCGAAGATTTGTGTTTACAGAATACTGTCGCCGAATATATGACTTGAATTATTTGTTCTAATACAATTATATATGGGTTTCGACTAAGTGATGTAGATAGAGTCAAAATAATGATTTTGTTTTGAATTATGAACATACCAATAAATTTACTTATTAATTAAAAGAAATCAGCCAGTTATAATTATAACTGATTCTCTATTGTATGAGTACATATTAAATCAACATTGTGTCAATTTAATCAGCTTATTCATTATGGTGGATAAGTTAATTTTGGTTAATTAATTTATAGAAAGCTTGGTTTCTATCTGCTAGTTCATTCTCGTGATGTAGCATTGATCTATTGGAATA